GATGGAGCTAAGACGGGCCTGCCCAGACGTCGTCATTGTCCTTGCCGCCATTGTCACCAGCCATTATTGTGAGACGACACAGGAACCAGGGGGGAAACAACAAGAAGGCACTTGCCTTATAGTTATAGCCGCCACTGAAGGATGGAGTATACATGAGGCCAACACGAGGGTGAGAGTGGGGTGCGCGTGGGCGCGGCGTTGTGGCGGGGGAGTCGGTGGGGTGACGCACATAATGAGTCTGCGTGGCAAGTACAAAAGTTTATAAATATGATGGAATAATTAAAACTTGGCGCCAATTTGGGGGCGTTCCCCAAGTCAGAGGTGGCCAAAAGGCTGTTTGCTGTGGCTGCCTTGCCCTTTGGGAGGTCTTTTCAGTCAGCCACAAATTTTTTTGCCATGTTCTGCGGGTCTCCTGGTTGCGGGGTATGCGGATGGGATGTGAGATGTGAGAATTTGTATGCTTTATGTTTTGCAGATGCTTAGAAAAGTTTTTGTTTTGTTTGGCTTTGCTTTTCCTGAACTTTGTTTCGCCTACCTTTTTTCCTAACCCCATCGTTAGGCCCGCTGCCGGCCCAGCGCCCGTTTTCAACGCTTCCTTGGGTGCTTCTTCTTGCTCTGTTAATTATGCAACATTAATTAAGACCTGATGTGAGCATAGAGGCTTTAAGCAGGTCACATCGTCGCAGTGAGACGCTTTAAAGACACTCTCTACGCTCGAGCGTCAAGTGTGGGTTCCCATTTTCCGTTTCCCATTTCCCATTCCGCTCCCGCACCTCGCATTGCATCTCAACGCTTCAGGGTCCATTCAAAGCACACCAGGAGCAGGAACCATAATTATGTGCACATTTATCAAAGCCAGGCCACGTCTCCGTCTCCGAATCCGTATCCGTCTCCGAGCCAGCCACTCAGCAAAGTTTATTTGCAGCTAACAGGGACCCCGGATCCCGACTCCGACTCCGACCTCGACTCAGACAGGGACATGCGGAAATGCGCTCCGCTTGGCATTTGGTTCAATGAACCTCAGTGACAGCAGGAGCATACCCGGCTGCAATCGCCAGCAGATGAATCTGCCAGCCCACTGAAACTTTAAGTTTTCTCATCCCCTAGAACCATACATATACGAGTAGCCAAAGCCATCGCATCCTTCAGCTCCATACTCACTTTGGGCAATAAAAACGTAAAAAAGTTTAGCTCCGGCTCCCCAGCAAAGAGTTACGAGTTTGGGCAACGTGAAACATATTTTGCACTCGTCGGACTCTGTAACACATGTTGGCTCAGTTCATTTAATGGGCGCCAAGGTGAGCCCAGCTTACCCCTCCCCGCTCCACCCCATTCAGGAATGCTGGCTGGAATGGATTCCAGAATGCCAAAGGAGAGCCACAGAGCGAAGCTCTTCAATTTGTTTGAATTTGTTTCTTGAAGCGAAGTGAAAAAGTTTACAAAAATAATCTCGAGAAAGAACACGAGGTAAGCTGCCCAGAACTTGTCTCCTGGCTCGTGTTGTGCTGTCCTGTTTGTGCAGGTGTTGCTGTAAATCCTTTTCCCTTAAATGTTGTGGCTCTTTCTCGTGTGACAGGCCCAGACGTGTCATGATGAATGAGGGAGGCATATTTTCTATGTGTCTGTCATCCCTTTGGCCTTTGAATAAATGCAACCCACTGCCAGGGCTGTGCTTGGGCTTGTGTTCGGTCTGACATGGCCAAGACATGTCAATTTCCAGGCTGATGCATCCCACACGAGCAACACCCAAGGCGAAAAAAAGCAACGAAAAGGTGAATAAGGAAAATAAAAAGGCAAACGAATTGCGTTGCTGAAAAGCCAAAGATTTTCATCCAATTTGCAAAAGTGGCGCCTCGCATTCGGAATACGCATACGGATACGCATACGCAGCGTTGGCTCGTCGATGCGGCACATGAGTGCTACACTGGCAGGAATAGTTGCAACATCAATTGCTCACAGACCATATGGAGGCTTTCACCATTTCTCCCAGTGCCGGGCGAACACGGAGGATGGGGTACGTGCCTGCTGCCAAGTCAAACATTACAACATTACGCGCTTTCCAATTCACCTGTGAAAATCATTTTCTTCGTCGAATCGAAAAACAAAGTCAGAGACGGGACGGCACGGCAACGTGCGGATTTTTTTGTCGAATTTGGCTTGTCAAATGTTGAAGGAGACGTGACAAGCATTAGCTACAGCTACAGCTACAGCTACAGCTACAGCTACAACCTGTGCCACGATAATGTCGATGTCGCCGTTGACGCCTGCCTGCAGGTCCTTTAGGTCCCCGTCCACGGCTCGGCGAAAGGTGAATTCCGGGGCTCTCCTGTTCTGCCGTGTAGTTTGGCATATCATTTCGTCGCCAATTTGAAAATCGTTGATATGCATGCGAAGCAGCCGACCTCAAGAGGTGTAAACAGAGGGCAGATGTGGCCGGGGCCGGGCCGGGGCAAGAGGCGGTAACGCTGGCAGTCGGGCGGGGCGGGGCAAATCAAATTGGTTAGCGGGGAGATCTCACGTACAGCTTATGTATATATATATGTATATTCTACATCTGCTCAGGTACGAATCAGTATTCCGAACCACCGAAAGTTTGCTCCTCCACAAAGTGCTTTTTGATGTTTTCGCCCCGGCAGACTCCAGACCCCAGAGGAACCTCAACTCTTTTAGTGACTCCAACTAACGAAGTAACCATTTGACTAACTAACTAAATTGATGCTAATGAAAGTCACACAGCAATATGCAAATGGAAATTGAAATTGAATATTCGAAATTAAATGCTTTTACTGGCAGTCGATTTTGTTGAATCAGGAATTACTTCAAATAAAACTACAATTGATTCGCATTTACATTTCATTGAGTAAGTTGCACAATTGGCACTGGGACTTGCCTTGCTGGAAATGCTCTAAATAAATGGCATAACATTTTCCCTATTTCCCATTCAATCGCACATGAGAGCACTTTCCATCCTCCCCAGATAGAAGATGGCTTGAGAAATCACATAAAAATACACAAAGACAGACAGACAGACAAACTCACTTGGAATGCTCGGGGCGCTTGTTGTTGGTGGCCCCAGAGAGCAAGGACAACACCAACAACAGTGTCTTTTTATTGCCATATATTCGAACTTATGGCAGACAATGCTGACATAAGAAAACGAAGGCATTTTGTCTGTATTTTATGCTCCCAAATTGTTTCTCAAATGAACAATTTTAAAATTTCCACATTCAATAAATTTACTGCGGGATGTCTACAAATTGCCAGCGGGTGTTGCTGGGGGCTGTTGAAAATGACGAAACTTTTTGTCAATTGACTCGACTTATTATTAGCATTATCACCTATTGGGCTACACACCGGGAACGCGGAGAGGAAGAATCTACCCAAATATTAGATACTCTTGAGGAACTCGAAGCTCTTCCTTTTAGGGGACGTCAGCGTCTTATTAGCTACAAGTTGTACCTCTAAATGTATACCAATCGAACTCTATAGAGAACTGAATTTACTGAAAATCTATTTTTGATCTGCAAATGTCGTTCTCCGATCTAACTCACCCAAAAATTAGTTAGTCCTCCCAACCAGCTAGTGCATATGCCCCCTGGGGGTACGCAACAGTAAGCTGGAGAAAAATGCAAATGACTTCCAATGGCAGTGAAGCGCAAATGGCGTTGAAATTGAAAATCAAGATGACTTCGTCCAACATCAGAGGAGTCTGGGCTGGATTGGGATTGGGGGCGAGACGAGACGAGAGACGCCATGAATACAGATGCAAACACAAACACACATAAAAGAGCGACTATTCAGGTGCGTGGGGGTGCGTCTAAGACATTTCGATTACATTTTGAGTGGTTCCACTCAAGTTTCCTCTGCTTTTTCTTTAAATTGCTGCATCCGCAAACTTTGGTGCCCTCATGAAATATGTAGACCGGAAATGACTGGGATGGGACACGGGCGGTGTACACTACACGGGTAGAGGTGAATGCCGTACCACACAAAAGGTGGCGCAAATTACTGAAATATGCATGCGACTCGCCAGGCCATTATCGGGGGCTTCCTTTTCTCGGAGAAGTACCACATCCCGTTCCAGCTATGGCCATTGGAAATACGTGCCAGGAATGCCCAAAAAGATTGCCTCGACCGGACACACTGTTTGAGTATTGGCCATGGCTTTGTGAATGGCATTTGGTTCCTCTTCTTCTTGTTTGGCTTTTGTGGTTTTGAAACTGCACGCATTTGATTGCGTTATTGAAATTGACTGTGCTGGCTTCATTACTATAATGTCCTGGGCAGTATTGTCCATTCCAGGTGGGTCGGTGGATAGGTCACATTGCGGTCGCTTTGGCTGGGAGTGTACGTGGAATTCAATTATAAATGCCACAAGATTCCAGCTATGGCTTGGCTTATGAATATAAATCTGCTTACTGTGTGGGAGCCCACGCTTAATTGCCATTGGCATATGCTCAGGTGACAAGGGAGCGGGTGGCGGGCGACCCTGTTTCGTAATTATTTACTTGATGATTTTGCCTCTGGGAAAGTTAAATTGAATGAGGATTATGTGAGCTTTTTAATTAACAAAAGGCGAGTCCTTGGCTGATCCTTAAGATTTGAAATTTGAAACTGTACCTTTCTTGGCTACTGCTTAGATTTAAGGAGGTAGAGTGAGATATCGCGCCGTATCGATATTAACGACAACTAATCGATTCAGTGATAGGACAACCCCGAAAGTGCAGCCCTGGGCGGCCGTTTTTGTTTGATTGATTTTTCGAGGACGTTGAAGCAAAACATCAAATGCTAGCTCGCAATGCAAATATAAAGTTGATAGATGAAAACATTCGCCCCGTTAAATTGCGAACAAGTAGCTGATTGAGGTCTGATTAAAATTTGTCTTAGGAAACTTTAAATCACTTTCAGGAATACCACTAACACATTCATCGGCAAGGTGGCAACTCTTCACAAACATATGATTTGGCAAAACAACTTTCTTTAAACAATTTTAATTTTATTAATTTTTCGTCGCACGATGACACTCGATTTGGATGCAAATAAAAAGGATGACAAGATTTTGATAACAACCATCCAGCAGGAGTACAAAATCCTGGCTGAATAGTAAGTTCCCAATTTGTTTCCTTTACATCTCTTCTAATCATTTCCATTTCCAGCAAAATGATTGAGTCGGAGAAGTTGGGTGGAATATACACAATACCCAGCTTAGCGAACTCCTTGCGTTAGTATAACTACAAATCTTCAATATTCCCCTTATATATTTCGTTTCTTTTAGAATGGTTTGGTGTCTTCTTTGGACGCCAGGGTCTCTATTCAGAAAGCGTCTTTCGTTTCTCTCTTCTGCTGCCCGATCGTTTTCCCGATGATAAAAGTCTTCCAGTTAGTTAGCCCAGACACAGAGATAAATGGGTTTTACTGATCTATTCCTTTCAGACCGTAATTTTTCAGCAGAACATCTTGCATCCCCATGTGTGCCCCTACACCAACAGCCTGGACATCAGTCATGCCTTTCCAGAGTGGCGATGTGGCGAAGATCACCTTTGGCAGCTTTTCAAGTACATGCAAGCGATATTTTCGGATCCCATCGACAGTATTCGGGGCATTGAAATGGACAAAATAAAGAATCCAGAGGCTGCCGAGCTGCTGCTCACCAATCGGGAGGAGTTTGCCGCCCGCGTCCTTGAGAATATCAAGGAAAGCAAGGAGCATATCTATGACCCTCAACCAACGGAGGATCCGCACTATATAGTATTTGAAAAGTTTCAACCAGATGTGCATGGGCCGGTGTTGGAGCGAATCAAAGCAGGCAGGAATAATCAGACGGATTCCACTCTGCAACAGACGAATGGCGGCACTGCCACCGGGCTCTCATGGGTGAAGGAGGGCGAGTTCAAGCCATTGAGCATTGAATAAAAGTAATATGTATATTTGTATATTAGTCCTGGAACCAATAATCGTAGTTAGAATGTTGTCTCAATTATATTCCATTAAAGTTTAATGTTATACTATTTAACTACTGACATTCCTCGCTCATGGGAAAGCGTTGAGTCCCTGCAACCCAATCATTTTCCAGCTTTAGTCGTTCTCCGTGCCATTTAAAATGTGTTGGAGACGCATCTCCGGCTGGAAATTCAAAGTATTGACTGAGCTCAATGGCCAATTTAGAGCGAACCAGGCCAATGCCACCCACTTGGGGCGTTGCTGGGTGATAAACCCGTCCATTTTTGGGGTCCATGTATAATTTGTGTGGTTCATAGGGCAATGTTAGGACTTGTCCAGCATGGGCATAGCTAAGAACTTCCTCGTCGCCATCTGCCTTCTTCAATTGTTCGGTGAATACAAGCGGCGTGTCATCGCAACGTATAAAGTTGCGTTCGCGTCCGCATAGCGAGATGTACGGGAAGTCGCTGAGATAACGCTGCGTTTTGTTCAGACGGAGGCGGGAAAAGAAGAACTTGAGGAAATCCTTCTCCTTGAAGCAACTGGTGAAGTTTTTCATTCTAGCATCGTCCAAGAAGAGCTGATGTGAGTATATCATAATTAATTAAATGCCAACTAATGTTTAATGCGACTTACCATTCCTTCATGATCAATGTAGTAAAAATATTCGCGTATTTTCGGCTCTGGCGTCTGACCCTGAACATAGTGCAAATTACGGGAAGACAGTAGGTTAGGGCTGAAGTATTTCAGGTTTATTAAATGTCTAGGCTGTGTTTTAATCATATTTTCAAGAACTGTAAAATTTTAGAACGCGAAAACAGCTGATTTCATCAGCTGTTGATGTGTATGTATGGGTGTGTATTGTGCGATGGGGAAAAATGATTAATTTTACGGCTATTTTCCTTTCTTTTTGGAGCCCCCACCGGTTGCTTTTTGCATGCGCCCAACTTGCATATCCTTCAACTTAGCATCCAGTCTCTTTTTGGCATTTTTGACATCCTCCTCGTGACGCACTGTCTTCGCCGGCTTGGGGTGCAAAAACTTCTTTCGCTCGTCCCGCTTGATTTCCTCGCCACAGCCATGAACCTCGGGCAGACCGTGCTTGAAACAGAACCGCTTCTTGCAGTGCGGACAGTCCTGGCCCATTAGGCTCGTTTTGGTCTTGCAGCGCGCATAGTCGCAGAGGTTGTCCACCTCCTTAACGGCGGTTAGCACATCGTCCAGCTTCAGATCGACCACTTGGCTCGGGATGCGCTCCAGAAGCTCCAGTGTATCATTTGTACCGTAGTCGATCCGTTTGCCAGGCTTGGCGGGTGGAAACAGAGGCGCTTCGTCCGCTTTCGCCGAGGTTGAGGGGTGGTTGGGATCGGCTGCCAAGGGCAATGGTTTACAATTGAAAAACCAATGCTGTTTTAGTTTATGACTTACCAGCCATAAGGATTTATTCTATTTTTGACCAGGATTTAGCTTTAAAACATTTCGTGAAATCAGATTTGTTGTTCATTTCGTGGATCAGCTGGTCTCCAGCTGTTGTTGTATCGATAGTCGACTAAAAACATCGTTGTACTATCGATGGTTTCGTAAAGTAGTTGGCGGGTTCTTTTTTATTTTTCGTCCAACGTGCAAAGCAAAAAATTATAGGATTCTTCATTGTCAAGCAGGGGAAAGTCAGAGTCAAAGTGCAGGTGCTCAATTGGTATCATCAATCCAGTCGAACAAATCGTTAGTGAAAACATCGATAGTTGTAGTCGACAGTAGTTTTTGTTGTTGTTATTGCCGATTACACTTGTCTGGACAGCACACTCAAAATTTAATTTATTTGTTATTGCCTGCTCGCTACGTTGTTCTACAAGTTCTTCGCCATGTCTATCTACGCCAAAGTTGAAAAAGGACCCGCGATTGAGGTTTTTGCCTTGACGCAAGCATTTAAAGACGATTCCAACCAAAACAAAGTCAACCTATCAGTGGGCGGTAAGTAAATACTAATTGCTCGTGCGTATTCTGGGTCTCAGTGTTTTTAGCACTTACGTACGTGCATACTCGTGCATATGTGTGCAATCAAAGTATTGTGTAGGGTAGGGGGTCTGTGTAGCGTAGTCGCGCTTGTCCAATTTGCTATCATTTGTTAGCGGCCGCCCTGCAGCCCACCACCTCCTCCTCGCATGACGTTGGCCCCCTCTCTGCTGGAGGTCATTTGGAAGTCACTTGGCATGTGAATTGTTGTGATTCTCTATCCTTAGGGTGGGGTGGGGTGGGCTGTCATGACGCGCTTACACTGAAATTCTTCTGCCACACTATTCCTCATACATTCATGTCACATTTTTTGATTGAAACCGATTGAGAGAGTTGAGAATTGTGCTTTCTAGGATCCATCACTTTCCTTGTTTTTCTTCTCATTGACGTCAGATGGTACAGTATTTAGTTATGTACTAGTGTGCATAACCATAACGATAAGCCGCTTAGATTCGAACTTTCTTTCCATCAGCTTCGTACCACAAGCTGTAATCTCATCATCAAGGGCAAGGCCGCTGCTGATTTGGATGGATGCCATTTCACCTTTTTTTTATATTTATGGCTGTTTTTGCCTGATCCAGCAGTTCCCAATTCTTATATTTATGGATGTTGTTGCATAATTTAAATGACAATTCCCCCAGCAAATTGTTTGCTTTTTTTATTTTGTTTTGTAGAATCTTCCAAGTCAATAACCTATGGCTTATTCTCATGTTAATGAGACCTGTCCGAATCGTTGTACACATTTATGTAGCTTGGAACTACATATACTTCATCAACTTTTACAATGCTGAAAGCTAAAAACTATTAATAGATTTCTTCATTTATTGTTTGGTATTGCTGGTTTTACTGTTTTTTAATAATTATTATTGTTCTCTCTCGCTTTTTATCACGCGCTCCTAAAAAAAACAATTCCAGCCCAATTACTTAAATTGGTTTCGAATAACCGACGAGCTTGTTGTTGCATATGGTATAGAAAATGGCCTAGAAACAAGTGCTTTCACATTATCGGATTTCGTACAGCATTACCCCTTGATTACCCATACTAAGTCCGTTAAGATAAGATTTCACATAGTACGAAAGTCAGCACTTTGAACAATGGATTCTCTCAAAGACTTGAACAGGAACTCGTCTTACTGTTATTATTATTACTAATAAGTTTTTTTTATTTTCACTACAGCTTACAGGACAGATGCCGGTGTGCCTTGGGTCCTGCCTGTGGTGCGAAAAACCGAAATAGCAATCGCCAGCGATGAGTCTGTTAACCATGAATATTTGCCGGTGACTGGTGAGTAATTAAAGGGTTTAATCCCATCTAGAGAATCAATTTGAACCACAATATCTATTTTTCTCAAAGGTCTTGACCCATTCACAAGTGCGGCAACGGAATTGGTTCTGGGTGCTGACTCCATAGCCATCAAGGAGAATCGCGTAATTTAAAAAGACTAAGTTTTCGTTTGAAATTATAATTGAAATACTCTTCTTGTTCGCAGGCTTTTGGGGTGCAGACTATATCCGGAACAGGTGCTCTGCGCGTGGCTGCCGAGTTCCTCCACACCCAGTTGAACAGAAATGAAGTCTTTTACTCGAATCCCACATGGGAGAACCATCACAAGATATTTTCCGATACTGGTTTCACCTCGTTGCACTCCTACCGCTACTGGGACCAATCCAAGCGTCAGTTGGACTTCAACGGCATGCTGGCTGATCTTGACCAGGCTCCTCCCGGAGCAGTGATCATCCTGCATGCGTGCGCACACAATCCCACCGGAATTGATCCCACCCAGGAACAGTGGAAGCAAATTGCCGATCTGATGGAGCACAAGAAACTGTTCCCTCTGTTTGATTCTGCATATCAGGGCTTTGCCAGCGGTGACCCAGATCGCGATGCTTGGGCAGTGCGGTATTTCGTTTCGCGAGGCTTTGAGCTCCTAACTTGCCAATCGTTTGCAAAGAACTTTGGCCTGTATTGCGAAAGAGCTGGCAACTTGACGGTGGTGCAGCAGCACGCATCCACTAAAGCTGCAGTACACTCCCAATTGACTTTGATTATCCGCGGCATGTACTCCAACCCACCAGCCTATGGTGCTCGTATCGTGTCGGCCGTGTTGAACAACCCTGCGTTGCGTCAAGAATGGATGGACTGCATCAAGCAAATGTCAAGTCGCATCCGCGAGATGCGTTCACTGCTGCGGGACAAGCTCGTTGCACTGGGAACACCTGGCAACTGGGACCATATTGTCAATCAAATCGGCATGTTCTCGTACACGGGCCTCAATGAGAACCAAGTTCGATACCTCATCAAGGAGCACCACATCTATCTCCTAAAGACAGGTCGCATCAACATGTGTGGCCTTAACACGGGCAACATTGAATATGTGGCCAAGGCCATACATGCCGCAGTCACCGCTGGATCGAACGCTTCCTGTCCGTGTGACAACAAATTGTAATAAAATGTAACTTGGGTAATATGTAGAATGTGCACCGGATATACAATGATCCACTGAAATATGTTAACCTTCGGCATGAGAATTATTGTTGTCTGCACCATTAGCATTTAACAGCTGTCCCAACTACGAAACATTTAAACCCGGCCTTTATATACAATGTGTATACTCTTTTCCCAATTTGATTATAAAATGTACACGTTTTTGCACATTTAGACGTCCTATTGGTTAAACAATGTTTAGCATAATAACTACTATTTACTGACTTGTGTGTAGTACTTAGTTACAACGACAATAACATAACAAAAGTATTCAGAAAGCGCGTTTCATTTTAAGTGGAATCAACCAGGACACATTGAAACCAGCCATTCCTAACAAACTAACATATTCTGTTGAATTAGCGGAATTTTCAACAAAGTTAATGATTTTTGTAGGACTATACAATCACTAAAAGACGAGGCGAATGGGGCCTGAAGACTATTTACAATATATACCAATATTCATACATATCTATCCAAACATTTTTTCGGGCTTACGGAAACTCGATATTATTGATGCTAGGCTGGTTTTAATGGCTTTAATAACAATTATCAAGTTACTAGCAAGCAATATTGTCAAAAATGTATGTATATTTTGTCGCCAGGTGGCTCTGCTGCTATTTGTAGAGTGTAGATGTCATGTAGCATACAAAATAAATAAGCTGTTAAGAACTTACATTTTTCGTATATACAAAACATACAAAATTCGGAAGATTGATTTGAGATTTCTCAGATGCCCTGACATATAATAAATCACTAAGCTAACTGTCTGTCTAGTGTTTTACCCATCGTTCACGATGGCACCGAAATACCCAAAGAACTGTAGTGTGGCTTGTCGGCCAGGAAGGCCTAAAAGTATGACATAAAAGTGACATATCATGAGATAGAGGCATCCTTGCACATTAGTTCCACTTCAATACATTCAATTTACATGAACACACTAAAAAAGGTTTGCTCTCGTTGGATACCCCATAACTTATCAATCGCTCAAAAAAAGGCTCGCGTCGATTGGAGTAAGGAAATGCGTAAAAAGTTCGGCCGAGGTGCTTCAAAAGATGTTTATAAAATCGTGACAGGTGATCAATCATGGATATATGCGTATGAGCCGGAAACTAAACAGCAATCGACCGTGTGGCTGTTTCAAGATGAGCAAAATCCAACAAAAGTTGTTCGAGCACGAAGCACTTCGAAGCAAATGGTCGCCTGTTTCTTCGGGAGAATGGGTCATGTGGCCACTGTTCCGCTAGAGAAACGTAGGACTGTCAATTCTGAGTGGTACACGACCATTTGTTTGCCGGAGGTCTTCGGAGAAATTCGCAAAACCAACTTCCGAGCACGAATCATTCTCCATCATGGCAATGCGAGCTCGCACACATCTCGACAAACAGGTGAATTTTTAAGCAGTCAAAACGTCGAATTGATGACTCATCCTCCCTACAGTCCTGACTTGGCACCCAATGACTTCTTTTTATTCCCTAACATCAAAAAAAAACTGCGTGGTCAACGTTTTACGAGCGCCGAAGAAGCAGTTGAAAAGTTTAAAAACCATTTTTTGGAGGTGTCTCAAGAGGAGTGGAAAAACTGCTGTGACCAATGGTTCAAGCGAATGCAAAAGTGTATTGATCATCAGGGGGAACATTTTTGCAAAACAATAAAACCATTTTCATTTAGAAATTGTTGTTCTTATTTCCTATTCCCGAAATATAAATAGCAACCCTCGTAGCACGTGATTAGTAATTGAGTTTTTTAATGTTTGCGAGCCCGGTATCCGAGCGAGTTTCAAACCCATCCCTACTTTACCGAATATGGAAGCTGGATCCAGCACGTGCTTCGTGTCGGATACCACCACCACCCGCTCGATCGGTATAGGTAACACTAAGACCATGGCCGGGAGTTGGTCCTAAATGCATATGTAAGCTAGTTCATAATATTTCAGATTTGTATAATTAGTACTATCTTTGATTTATTTTACCGTCAATATCTAATTGGACTTTGTGCTTCATAGAAGTATGTTGTCGTTCATAGAATCTCATTTATCGCCTAGGAGGTCGATAAGTTTTTAATTAAACAATGCATGTGCTAATCCAAGAATAGGCTTACAATCCAAGGTGCAAGTCTTGGCAAATATTTTGATAATAACCTATTTACAGAATTGAAAAAAATAACTTAACCTTGGTCCAATGATACGAAATAATAATTCAATTTTAAAATATCAGTGAAAATAAGCGGCACGTGTAGCAAGACTGCGATAATTTATTGGTAGGACAAGTCTAGACAAATACATCTTACAAAAGGAATTTTTTCAAATTCTATAGTGATTACAGATCCCATTATGACTGGGAAGTGAGCCTTTTAAAGCTCTCGCCTGATGTTGATAAGATATGGTATGTCTAGTAAATAGCTGTGACTGGCACAACATATTGTTAAATTCGTTTGATAGCGAAGATTAGCTGTACTATAAATGGTTTCCATAGCTTTCAGACGGAGGCGTGGCAGTTCTTATCAACATTAATGTACGTATATAGTATATTGAGTGTCTGGCATTAGCTGTATTATAAAAGGTTTCCATAGCTTTCAGACGGAGGCGTGGCAGTTCTTATCAACATCTATGTACTACTATATAGTATAAAGAGTGTCTGGCACTTACCAACAATCCCAATATGTTTTTCGATTCCTCTCACATACAATCTACAATCTAATCTATGGGACTGTCAGCTGAAAGCAAGCCGATTTTTTATATTAGTATTACATAGAAAAATACTAAAGTAAAATATGGACTAAACAACTGCCCAACCAAACAAACATCTTATAGTACATAGTATGTACAAAATATGTATTCCTCTTCAATACGCAACATGCTTCTTGTTGGGTCTCGTCTAACATATAGATAACGCGCCCCCTGTTATTGCCACATTAATATAAAAATAAAAATCTAAAAGACTCTGATACACAAGCTCCAACACATGTATGTATGTATGTATATACATGCATGTATACATATTTGTAAATATATAGTTTTTGAGAGCGAGAGCCAATCATAAAGTCCAGCTGATAGCGACGATAACAGAGAGCGCAATCGTCGGGTCGGCAACGATGAGAGCTCTCAGCCCGAATCAGTGCCCGAATCTTCATTCCATCCCGCCACATTAATTTTGAGTCGTACGATTCCCCCCGATATAGAAGTAGACTCACCGGCTGTTAATATAATAAGCTTCAGCTTCGTTAACATCGCCGGACTACACACGCGCCGAGTTCAAATGGGTGAAGCATTCTAGTCGCCTCCACAACACAAAACAAAAAGAACAACAACAGCTCTATCAATCGTCTTGCGATTGAAAAGTTTCCATAACATCGAACTGATATGTATGGGTGGGAGACGTCACCAATGATGCGATGCTCAATGGTTTTTGTTTTTTGTTGGATTGCGACCCATGTATTTGAAAATAGTTCTAGAGAGGGTTGATCAGGAACATAATAATAACATCTACCCTGCAGGGCCCTGTGAGAATGGTTTAGAAAGTTTTTTCTGGATTAGGCACATGTCTGCTCAGGCAAGAGAGATTTGCTTGAGCTAAAGGCAGAATTTACAGAGTCCAACGTCTAGAAGCACCGTGAATATAATTTCCCACTTATGTGTGTTAGTGGAGCATGGAGAAATGGAATAAACCACTCACCACTTACGACTGATAAAGAACGGCAGACTGGAGTAAATACTGGAATGTCTGCTCCGTGAGCCTCTCTCTCACATCGGCCAGCTTCTTTGGATTCGGCCTAGCTTTGGGGGCTGGTGAGAACAGCTGTGACGCTCCCCCCACCGACAATGGTGGCCGGCATCCAGTGACAACAACACAAACCAAAAATTGGACGTTTGGACAAAGTTCAGAATTTGTTTTTGTGTCTATGGTGAAGAACAAATTTCATTACCGGTTAGGAGCACACGCGCAGGCACAGAGGCAGAGCCGAAGAGAGGCGCCGTGATTGGGAGAGGCAGAGAAGATAAGCAGGCACCAACCCCACAACTTGGTATAATTATTTAAGGTAGAGCCAACTCACTTTGTGGTGGCCTATGCAGTCTGCTTAGGTCCCTCGCAGAGCGGAATATCTATAGACTCTATACCCATCATATTTATACCATGTCGGCAATGTCGAAGCTGCGAGACTGCTGCTTTCAAGTTTTGGCGAGAAGCTCAACCGGCCCGTTGAGTTGGTCGTGCAACTTTGACGTGAGCGGTTCGCCGAGTTCCTGGGAAAGAAAGCAAACAGCACGCCGTTGTAAAGTGCAGTGAACAAATTCGACTTCGCGGTGTTCTACCTACCCAAAAAAAAATAAGAGGAAGAGTGTACAAAACACATATAGGAACCGTGTGCATTTGTGTCCCCAGAGCCTTCGATCGAAAGGCTGTCCCACAGATTTCAATTGTTTTGAGTGCTGAAACGGCGATTTCTTGACCGTCGCACTCCCCTTTGGAGTCCCGTTGGATAACAAGGATAAGCGCAGGGCGCTTTTTGTGCATTTTTTTTGGAAACGTAAGTCAAAGGTCACCGGCCCCAATCGTATTGCCAGACAGACAGACAGACACCTGCCCACGCAGGAGTGCGCCGCCACAAGGATGTGCTTCGATGTGTCGATATGGATTTCACTTTTTGATTGTAATCGATCTCATTTAATTGCATAATTTCTGCTTAATTTTCTTTTTCGCTCGGCCTCGTCCCTTCTCCCTTCCGGCTCTCGCCACCATCTGCTGCAATTTACATCAGAGCCCTCTGCTCTCCCTTCCTCTCTGGCAGACATGTGTTAATTACATTTTATTCTATTCCATACACACACCACACGCACACAGTCCCAATCACTGCGATAGAGACAGATATAGAGAAAGAGTGAGAGAGGGGCACACGCAGCCGCTGGCTGTGTTTTATTTTTGTCCTCTTTTTACTTTCTGCCCAATATTTATGACCTTCTTATGGTTTCGCTATTGAGTCGAAACGTGTTTGACAAACAGACAGACAGACATAGGCAAATGTATAATATAATACATTTATATACACAGACATGCTTCCGTTCGAATGTGCAATTAATAATGGGGATATACTCGTACAGTGAGAGATCTGTGGAGTGGACACCCACAAATCTAATTGGGTTTCATTTGCCTTCCTTGGCAGGGCATCAAGTGTGGACTGAAAGCTGGACCCGGGACCAGTCAATGTCAAAGCTTCTATCAGCTAGTCGACTTGATAAGGTCCAGACAGTTAGCGTAACCAAATATAAAAGCTTTCCAGTGTTACATTATAAAAACCTAAAAGTGCGGCATGGGACTGAGACTAAATGTAATCGATGGGCGGAAGTACTCACTATTCCGGCTGGCTCATCCATTTATGCGCAATTATTGTCACGGCTCCGCCATATTTTGCGGAAAATCAATGCCCGGCCCACATTCAAAACGACTTTGACCTTAGCGGACTGTCGTTCAAGATCGTATGTTCAAACAGCAAAAAAAAAAAAACAAAAATTAGCACGCACGTTTGATGAGTAAAAGTGGGGGGAACAAAAGCAAATCGTTTGAGTGGCAGTGGCCCCTTCTAATATTATTATTATTATTATACAATGCACATACATACATAGTTTGTTGTATTATCATTATATTATTACATAATCGTGTGATGACCGTGCCTGGGCAGGCGAGTAAACACATTCGGGAGCTCGGGTATGGAGTGGTTTGCCATGTCAACAGCGTTTCGTACAATTGCTTGAAATTGGTCTCGCCCAGGGATTGCCGCACCACGCGAGCATTGAAAGGGCACGGCACACACGGCAAACAGAAGCAACAGGATAATTGAAACTGTCTGTATACATTGTCAAAAGTTAAACAGAAAATTTACAGAAACAAGGGAAACAGGAAACGAAATCAATTACAGTGAAAGTGATCCGCCAAAGGAAGCTTTCACTGTACTCTGATTTGTATTTTTTCACGGCAATTTGTTGGGCAAGCTTTTATTTCTGATGATAAAATTCTTTTAAGCTCGAGTATTCAAAGGAATATTTAGGAATCCGGTTTTTTAGCTTCTTAGCTTCTTCAATTGCAGAACAAACAAATTTGAAGCCCAAAGGAATGCATATATATGTATATATTTTATAACGGATCGATATTTAGACTCCTTATCGCACTTCCTTTAAATTATTAAAAAACCAAAGCGAAAGAGCTTCCGATTATACGAGTACCTTCCTCATAGCCTTAACGATAAAAAAAATCCCTGAGATAAGACGAACGATTTACCTTTTGGCTTTATAAGTAAGACTATATAGATATTGAAAGGTTGAAGTGATTGAGCTCTATAAAATTACTGCCTCAATAAGAGATAAGAGCCGATAAGAGAGGAAAGGTACCTGGATACCTGCCCTAACTCGACTTCTATCTCGATCCGTCTTCCATATGTATGTTCGTGCCAGTCGCTAAATATCGCGCTATATCACTGCCACGCAATCCTAGAGAATGTTACACATCGTTATATAAGAAGCATTGCATTGATAAGGAAGCATTTCATACTTGCAAAACACATGAAGCAACATATTTTTTCATTCAAAATTTATTATAGTACAGTAATAATAAAAACGGCAGTCGAGTCGAGTGGCTGTTCCGTTCTACCAAGCACAAGGTGACATTGAGGCTTATCTGGGGATTCGATTTTAGTTTTCCGAATAGTATTTGGAGTGAGTATTTGATTGATAGTTATAGGTGGCCGAAATACTAGAACTGGGTGGAATCTTTTTGGTTGTTAATTATATAATCGTGCATTAGCTCTGTACGAAGGAACGAAATTAGCAAATTATATTGATGTTAACAGACGAAATTAAATTAGAGCTGTCGATCGACATCGGATCACGTCCATCATGACTATTTATAGGGTGCCCCCAGGAGTGCACTCCCACTGGGAATGATAAAATGGATGGCCAGACCTCCGATGTGTTAATAAAGAAGTCTTATCATCCGCTCATTATCTGCACCTGTGTCGCCTCATGTGTAGGCAAACAGTCAATACATGTGTCAACAGTGGTTCTAGATAATCTATGGACCCCTGGTGCTCCCACTCGCCATTCCCCCCATAGTGAGTCTTTTGGAGAGGCATGGGGTTCACGTGCGGGCACAGTCCGCCCCGTGGAGGAAAATATATTTATGTTTGGCCAAATGTAAAGTGGATCTTTATCAGAGCACATAGTGCCTAATCCCATTTCGCTAAAATCACCCGATCACTCGGTCCAGTTCCAAATGCACTTCAAAGTACATATGTATGTATATATATTTTGGCGACCCACACGAGGCCCACTTTCTGTTTGACGCAGACGAGCCCCCATGATATACTTGAAGAATCGGAGCACAAGAGGAAGAGATAGAGAGAAAGAGAGAGAGGTAGACAGACAGAGTACAGACAGGGTCGGCTATTTGAACTTGTTCGGGGCCTGAATCTGAAATGCAAAAAAAAGCGTGTGTTTGCCGTCTGGCCAGCAGCAGCAAAGCCGGTCACTGGCGCACCCCTGTGCCCCCCTTCCCGTCGGTCTACAAAAACCCATATAAATCGTTGATAATGAGCAAAACAAGCTTTTAGCTAAAAGTTAATGGAAAAAGAAAAGCAAAAATAAAAATGTTACGAGGCATGTGCGAACGCACTGGGGATACTCTTTAGATGAACTGCCAGACGTTCCCTTGATTCGTTTTTATTTGGGTTTATTTTTATACTCTATGCTAATTTGTATTCGCCTTATGTGTAAATATATAATACAAATGTTAAACCATTAATGGACTTAAGTGTAAATATCTCGACTGTAATATACCCTGGGATCTTGCTACAGAAGTAGAGGAATTTGATTTCAACTAACAGTATGACTCGTGGGGCACAGCCACTCCCATATACCCTTTAGGTATGAGTGTATATTAAATATTGACACATGTATTAGCACAATATGTCCACTATAGTACGCAATAGAAAATAAATAGGCACTTTCGATGTATCAATTAGGAAAATTCACGGCACATCATAGTTTGGGAGCTGTTCACCCGATTCTACCCAGACAATCGGGTTAACATATTCAAGATTGTCATTCCAGTTGTTAGAACTCGCTTTGGATTTTGCTCACGTGAGTCAATCCACTTTTCGCTGGGGTTTAGTGCGCCGACAGCTCGTTATTTAAATGGAATAATACTTGGAAATCACACAATCGGCGAACTTTGAGCCGAAGATTAGGCTGCAGCTGGAGCTGGAGCTTGAGCAAACATACAAACATTCGTAGATCAGAAGGAATGAGAACAGTTTGAATTGAAACAATTTTAGGCGAGACCTTCCTTCCCCTGTGGCATGTTGTTTGTTCGCGCTTTCGAAAGTAAAGTCGATAACCTTAAGGCATTTGGAAATCGAGCACAACTCGAAATCAGCTTATTAGCAGATAATTGAAGCACCAAATGCAATCTCTCGATCGTAAAATACAACAGACTGCGAGTATTATATGTGAAAAACATTATTCTCCTCTCGCCCCCGCAGCAACGCTCGGATCATCATGTTCATACCAGTGGCCCAGTCCGCCTTCAAAGCGCTGCGCAGTGCGCAGCCGCGCGTGCGCCTCTACTTCGTCAGCAAGAATGCCTACTCGAGTCAGGTGAGTGGAGGGAGGTTCATGGGGGTCGCAGGTCAACATGAATCACCGATATTATGTGTCCCCACCAGGTGGAGTACAAGCCCATTCGATCGGTGCTGGTGGCCAATCGAGGGGAGATTGCCATTCGCGTGTTCCGCGCCTGCACAGAGCTGGGCATCAAGTCGGTGGCCGTGTACTCGGAGCAGGACAAGATGCACATGCATCGCCAGAAGGCGGACGAGTCCTACCTGGTCGGCAAGGGTCTGCCCCCGGTGGAGGCCTACCTCAACATTCCAGAGATCATTCGGGTGTGCAAGGAGAACGACGTGGATGCCGTGCATCCCGGCTACGGCTTCCTCTCCGAGCGCAGCGACTTTGCCCAGGCCGTGATCGATGCTGGCCTTCGGTTCATCGGCCCCTCGCCCAAGGTTGTCCAGAACATGGGCGACAAGGTGGCGGCTCGTGTGGCGGCCATCGAGGCCGGTGTGCCCATTGTGCCCGGCACAGATGGTCCCGTAACCACCAAGGAGGAGGCCCTCGAGTTCTGTAAGATGCACGGACTACCAGTCATCTTCAAGGCGGCATACGGCGGCGGCGGACGCGGCATGCGAGTGGTGCGCAAGATGGAGGAGGTCGAGGAGAGTTTCCAGCGCGCCAGCTCAGAGGCCAAGGCAGCCTTCGGAAACGGCGCCATGTTCATTGAGAAGTTCATCGAGCGTCCGCGTCACATCGAGGTCCAGTTGCTGGGCGACAAGGCAGGTAATGTGGTGCACCTGTACGAGCGAGACTGCTCGGTGCAGCGTCGCCACCAGAAGGTTGTGGAAATCGCTCCGGCTCCGCGCCTACCCATCGAGCTACGTGACAAGATGACAGAAGCTGCCGTGCGGCTGGCCCGTCACGTGGGCTACGAGAACGCAGGCACTGTGGAGTTCCTGTGCGACGAGTCAGGAAACTTCTACTTCATTGAGGTGAACGCCCGCCTTCAGGTGGAGCACACGGTCACAGAGGAGATCACCGGCATCGATCTGGTGCAGTCGCAGATCCGCATTGCCGAGGGCATGACTCTTCCAGAGCTCGGCTACACCCAGGAGAATATTCAGCCCCGCGGCTATGCCATCCAGTGCCGTGTCACAACAGAGGATCCCGCCAACGATTTCCAGCCCAACACGGGACGCCTGGAGGTGTTCCGATCGGGCGAGGGAATGGGCATTCGTCTGGACAGTGCCTCGGCCTATGCCGGCGCCATCATCTCCCCGTACTACGACTCCCTGCTGGTCAAGGTGATCGCGCATGCAGGCGACCTGCAGAGTTCCGCCGCAAAAATGAACCGTGCCTTGCGCGAGTTCCGCATTCGTGGTGTCAAGACGAATATACCCTTCCTTTTGAACGTGCTGGAGAACCAGAAGTTCCTGAACGGCGTCTTGGACACCTACTTCATTGACGAGCATCCGCAGCTCTTCAAGTTCCGACCCACCCAGAATCGTGCCCAGAAATTACTCAACTACTTGGGCGAAGTGCTGGTCAACGGTCCACAGACCCCACTGGCCACCACCCTGAAGCCCGCCGAGGTCAGTCCTCATGTGCCCGCCATTCCACTGGGTAAGTTCTAGCCTGATCTGTCCTAGAAGACCCTTGGGTCCATTGCATGTGCTTTATACGGGTTCACGCTTGCTTTTGTGGCTACCAAAGGGAATCAAAGTCTGAAGGAGGGGCTTCTATGCGATGCATTTAATGCAAAATAAATGCAACATGTACAAGTCCCTCAATTGATCTTCAATTTCAATGAAAGGAAAGTTACTTCGAATTGATTCAATTAAAAGGCATGCACGGTGGATTTTGTTTCTTTTACGTATCCTCTTGTGACAATTTTGTTCGCTTCTCCTACTATATGCTTTAATCGAACTTTATGCTTTTACTCTTTCAAAATACTGCACTGCAATTTTTGTGTTACATCTGTTATTAATCTACCAAATATTGAATCGTACGCAATGCAATCGTAATCGCAATCCAAACAATTGGGGGAAAAAAACAACCAACAAATATCACACACCTCCAATATCTCAACAACAATGATTCAATACGCACAACAAAAAACACGATATGATATGCCCCACACGTCCATAAACGAAACGTTCTCATGATCCTCCTCATACACCAACCCAACCGAAGACTTGTCGCCGGAGGCACTAGAACGTGAAGAGCGTGGCGAGGCCAAAGGTATGTCTATGCTGATGTTACCCTTAAATATACGGAACATCCAAAAACATTCATCATGGCAGTGGGTTTTCATCAGAAAGTATTCAAGCTGTTGGTATTGTTATTCTATCATAGTATCACATTAAATGTTTGGGCTTCACAGCTTTATGTTTTCTTTTTTTTTCGCATCCAGTTAATTGTTTTATTATCGCTTCTGGGATAATATATGTATTCCATTCACAACACATTAAGTAGAAAAGTAATTTCTGAAATATATTAATGAATACCAGTTGCTTTATTTTAAAAGCTTAAATACAAATTTTAATTCGATTTAAATACATTTTTTTGTGGTTCAGCTAAAGATGTAATTTTTATGGAAACATTGTTTGTCTGTTAATTTAATCGCTCATTTCTGTAGCCTTAATCTAAAGCCATCGAAATATTTAAACATATTAATACTCACATCTCGGTGAAGGGAATATGCGACCATATCGTTTTGGAAGTGTGATCCTTTGACTAATGTTTTGAGTCTCTTGCACAGTTACGGAGCCACCTTGCGGTCTACGCGATATTCTGGTACGCCAGGGTCCCGAGGCCTTTGCCAAGGAGGTTCGCTCCCGCAAGAACCTGATGCTGATGGACACCACCTTCCGCGATGCCCACCAATCGCTGCTGGCCACGCGTGTACGCTCGCACGATCTCCTGAAGATCTCGCCCTATGTGGCCCATAAGTTCAACAATCTCTATGCGCTGGAGAACTGGGGTGGCGCCACCTTCGATGTGGCCCTGCGCTTCCTGCACGAGTGCCCCTGGGAGCGTTTGGAGGAGATGCGCAAGCGCATCCCGAACATTCCATTCCAGATGCTGTTGCGCGGAGCCAATGCCGTTGGCTACACCAGCTATCCGGACAACGTGGTTTACAAGTTCTGTGAACTGGCGGTAAGGATCTGAATCCTCCCTCATTCATATGTGCCTAATTCCTCTGTGTCTGTCGCGCAGGTTCAAACCGGCATGGACATCTTCAGAGTGTTCGACTCCCTCAACTATCTGCCCAACTTGATCCTAGGCATGGAGGCGGCCGGCAAGGCTGGCGGCGTGGTCGAGGCAGCCATCTCCTACACCGGCGATGTGAGCGATCCCAAGCGCACCAAGTACGATCTCAAGTACTACACCAATCTGGCCGACGAGCTCGTCAAGGCTGGCACCCATGTGCTCTGCATCAAGGATATGGCGGGTCTTCTGAAGCCCGAGGCAGCTACGTAAGTCGAGGAAACTGCCCGAGACTTGTGTGAACCCACAGCACTTCTGACGTCTTTCCATTGCAGACTGCTCATCACCGCCATTCGTGACAAGCATCCCGATATTCCAATCCACATCCACACCCACGACACCTCCGGAGCTGGAGTGGCGTCTATGCTGGCCTGTGCGCAGGCTGGCGCTGATGTGGTTGATGTGGCCGTTGACTCGATGAGCGGCATGACCTCTCAGCCGAGCATGGGAGCAGTGGTTGCCTCGCTGCAGGGCACGCCTCTGGACACAGGGGTGGATCTGCGCGTTGTGTCGGAGTACTCGGCATACTGGGAACAGACCCGCACCCTGTACGCTCCCTTTGAGTGCACCACGACCATGCGGTCGGGCAATGCCGATGTGTACCTGAACGAGATCCCCGGCGGTCAGTACACTAACCTGCAATTCCAGGCCTTCTCTCTGGGTCTGGGTGACTTCTTCGAGGATGTGAAGAAGGCGTACCGCGAGGCGAATTTGCTATTGGGTGACATTATCAAGGTCACTCCCTCGTCCAAGGTGGTGGGTGACTTGGCCCAGTTTATGGTTCAGAACAACCTCACTGCCGATCAGGTGCTGGAGAAGGCTGAGGAGCTTTCGTTCCCCAAGTCCGTGGTGGAGTTCTTGCAGGGACACATTGGCATCCCCCATGGTGGATTCCCCGAACCTCTGCGCTCCCGCGTTCTCAAGGATATGCCACGAATCGAGGGACGTCCGGGCGCCGCGCTTGAACCTCTGGACTTTGACAAGCTGAAGCAGGATTTGAAGGAATCTCATCCCAATATCACCGACCGCGACGTCATGTCGTCGGCCCTCTATCCCCAGGTGACCAACGAGTACCTGTTCTTCCGCGAGAAGTTCGGACCCGTCGACAAACTGGACACGCGCATCTTCCTCACCGGACCCAAGGTGGGCGAGGAGTTCGAGGTGACGCTGGAGCGCGGCAAGACGTTGAGTCTGAAGGCCATGGCCATGGCCGCCGATCTCAAGCCCAATGGAGATCGCGAGGTCTTCTTCGAGATGAACGGCCAACTGCGCACAGTTCACATTCTCGACAAGGAGGCTGTCAAGGTGAGTGAAGACTCCAATTTACGATGGAAAATTACTAACACTTCCTCTAATTTCTGTGAATTCTCCCTTCAGGAAATCCACGTTCATCCCAAGGCCAACAAGGCGGTCAAGAGCGAGGTGGGAGCCCCCATGCCCGGCACTGTCATTGACATTCGCGTCGCTGTCGGCGATAAGGTGGAGAAGGGTCAACCCCTGGTTGTACTCTCGGCCATGAAGATGGAGATGGTAGTCCAGGCACCACAGGCGGGCGTTGTCAAGAAACTGGAGATCGCAAACGGCATGAAACTCGAGGGCGATGATCTGCTCATGATCATCGAGTAAACACCTCATCCCGCCCAAGCTTTAGGGCTTACAATGTCCATTGTCCATGCTGCCAGCGCACACCTATTGTAACATTAAGTCGAACAGTGATAATCCTAGGGATTCTCGTCAGTTGCCACCAAACCACCTATAGCCCTGACTGTGCATCTACTTTTTATATATGTATCTGTATCTGTAGCTGAGACTAGTTAGGGAGCACAGGTTCTCGCTGTGTGTGTTCTATGTATATTTATGATAGTTCTTGGAACCGTCACGACCGTCATGTTTTATACCCCGCCACACACTTTTAAGTACCGTTAAAATTAAACTTGTACGATTTTTGAATTTAAGATTTGCGAAAACTGTCAAAATTCACCTCCTCCAATACATACGTAAGTGGTTATAAATGTCAATATCTATATTGAAATAAATGTTAAACAAATATGATTTGTTTGGGTCTCGTTCGTGTAAATATTGCTACTGCAACTGGTTGCTTATAATTAATTAAACAGAACTGATTACCAACTAACTTATGGCTACGGTGTTTCAGTATGCAATTTAAAGAACGTCATACGAAATTCTCTAGAATCTAACAACAGATTGCAGAGAAGGAAGAATAGGACTCCGCCTGAATAAAAAGGGTTTATACTACAATTTCCATCTTACTACACGCTCTACATGCACTTTACAATAAATTCCAGAAAAGCCAGCTCCTTGTTCATTTCAGTGATCCTTTTGAAATGCCTCTGTACGTAGGGAGTAAGAACCTCTACCATGTTGCTGTTGTTGTAGAAGCGTGCTTTAGGATCCAGCAGAGCATCTCCAATTAAGTGCTTAAGGATTACATTGCCAGCGTGGGAGTTTCGCGAGTTTGTGGTCCAGGCCTTAACGTGCTGTAGCAGCGCCACGCGCTGGTCCACATTTAGTTGATCCACCAGCTGACGGAGGCCGGCTTCATCACGCTCTCGCACAAAGTGGATTATTATGTCGAAGGTTGTTTTAGGTTTGTTCAAGTTCAGCGCCAGGACAAAGGCCTTATGCAGCTGCTTCTGTGCATGGAGGAGGGAGTGCAGGGTCTGCTCCTGCTCCAGGGTCTCCTGACGCTTATCGAGAGCCTCGTTGCGCGTGGCCTGCGTTACATCGCCAAAGCGTATCAGCTTGGAGTCTGCTCCTCCTGTGTAGAAGAAGCGATTACTTCTACCAGAGACCGCTAAGGCCCAGACACGATCGCTATGCTCATCGAGGGACTGGAGGCTAGTATTGGTCTTGATGTTCCACAGCTTGAGGAGACCATCCGAGGCGGCAGAGATGATAAACTTTCCGTGGTCCAGGAACTCTGCTCTTAGAATTGTACACTCCTGATCAAAGCGTTTAATGCAAGTAAAATTGCTGATCGACCAGAGGCGGAGCGTGCAGTCGGAGGACGACGTGAGCACAACCTGGTCGACTGGAGAGAAGCGCACACTCCACACACCGCGGGTGTGGCCACGTAGCACTCCCAGCAACGAATTGGAGTCTGCCATCCAAAGCTTGGCCGTCTTGTCCTGCGAGGCGGTAGCCAAGATTTTGTTGTTCACTGCATAGGCAACACAATTGACCTCCTTGTCATGGGCCAGCGCTGAATATCGCAGGTTGAATGTGTAAGAGTTGCGCTCCTGCTTATCCCTGGTCAAGTTCCAAACTTTCATGCTCCCGTCTTGGCACACAGAGGCAAAACCTGTTGCTCCATTGTGGGTCATAGCCACACATCCGATTGTTGAGGTATGGCAGTTTGTTTGCTGCGTTAGACCTTCCAATGAGCAGGCCTTCTCATGCTCGAGCTTCCACAGTCGAATGCTACAATCTTTGCCCACAGAAATGAGCAGATTGTGAGAGGCCGCCAAAGCCATGACTGTGTCGGAATGTCCGACAATCAGTTTGCAGTTCATATCGTTCTCCGTATCGTATAGTTTAAAGTGTTTGCTGTTAGTGGCCACAGCCAAGTAGCGGTCGTTGTCTCCCAAGAAGCACATATCCAGAATCTCATCGTTGTAGCCGACCAAGTGCTTAATGGGTTCAATACTGGAGCCATCATAGACGATTATATTCTGTTCTGTGGTGACCAAAGCCAATTGTTTGAGGTCGCTGCAATGTAGCAGACGACTGATTTGAAAGTCCGACTGTGTCAAAAGGTTCTTTATCTTCCAGGATTCGGCATCCACCTGCTGCAGATTTCCTGTTCCGCTGGCCACAATTATCTCCCGGCCCTCGTTTGTGTATACGACTCCCTCCAGCTCATCAAACAGTGGTAGTACTTTCAACTGCTTGCTTTCCACCTGATCTTTTAGCTTCCAAACAATCAAAACCTTATCTCGGCTCACAGTAGCTAGCTCATTGCAGTCTGCTTCGTTGCTCTTGAAGCTCAGGCCGGTCACCTGCGAAAGATGGCCTCGCATTTTGTGTAGCAGCGTCTTCGACTGATAATTCCAGCAGTAAATCGTGTTATCCGAACCCACAGCATAGATCTCACGTCGCAAGACATTGGGATGGAATCGCAGGAGCCAGCATGGACCAGGAAAGTCTTTCAGAGCACACAGGCAGCTGTTGTTGCCGAAATCCCACAGTCTCAATGTTGCATCCGCTCCACCGCTTGTGCATACAAGCCTTCCGCAGGGACTAAACTCGATTTTGATGACTGGCCCCTTGTGTTGGGCCTTCCACAGCTTTACAAGCTTACAGGTGGTCAGTAGCCAAAGGCGCAACAGTCCACTGCGATGGGCAGTTACCAAGTGCTCGTGCGACAGGGCAAAGCAGGTGATCGCATCCTCCTCCACGTCGATGTCTTCCAAGTTGGCCGGCTTTTTGTTCTCTGCAGGCGTCGAGCCAATCCCGAAGCTCTGCAAGATTTGCGAGGTCTTGACGTCGACTTGGTTGACACTGACACCGTTCAGGCAATAGAAGTGCTGGCCATCCGAGCTCCACGCAATGTCGCCGCCGCCATAGAAGTTTGTGTACTGGGCCTCCGCCGCGTAGCTAAACCATACATTTATCGGTTATTTTTGTATACATTTATTCAAATATTCTCTCACCTTTTTTCACAAATATTCGCCAACATGTTTCTCGTTGTTTATAAATAAAACCGCGTGCGCGCTGAATGCTAGGCAAAAGTAGAGCTGGAGACCAAAACATCGCTGAAACATCGATATTTTTTCAATTTTTTGCTTGAGATAAGCCCATTATGGGTATGAAATGAATATAATAAAAATTGTTTGTTAAAAACCGAGTAAAATGATTTCAGAAAGATTATTTTGGTAAAAAAACAACTTTGTAATATTTCTTAAAATTAAAAAAAATGATTTGTAATTATGAACGCTTTTAAAGTTTATCTAATGTAATCTAAAAACATCGATGCCTGCAATGTATACCGATGAAATCGATGTTTCTCCTCTCTAGGCAAAAGGCGTCAAATCATTCTCCAAGTTCCATTAAAACAAATTTTTCGCGAAATAAACATTTACAATTTAAATCACAGCCATGAGTACAATTGGAACTGGTGTAAGTAGAAGATGATAATGTTTGAGACTGGGCGGTTCCTATTTGTACGCATTTGTATTGCAGTATGACTTGTCGGCATCGCAGTTTTCGCCGGACGGTCGCGTTTTCCAAATCGACTATGCTTCCAAAGCCGTGGAGAAAAGTGGCACAGTTATTGGAATTCGTGGCAAGGACTGCGTTATTCTTGCCGTTGAGAAAATAATAACCAGCAAATTATATGAGCCCGATGCCGCGGGACGCATTTTCATTGTTGAGAAGAACATTGGCATGGCCGTGGCTGGGCTGGTGGCCGACGGCAACTATGTGGCTGATATTGCCCGCCAGGAGGCAGCAAATTACCGTCAGCAGTTTGAGCAAGTGATTCCTTTGAAGCACCTGTGCGACCGCGTGTCGGCCTACGTCCATGCCTACACTTTGTACAGCGCAGTCCGCCCCTTTGGACTGTCTATTATCCTGGCCTCGTGGGATGAAAATGATGGACCCCAACTCTACAAAATTGAGCCATCAGGCTCGTACTTTGGGTACTTTGCCTGCGCCAGTGGAAAGGCCAAGCAACAGGCCAAGACTGAGATGGAAAAGTCCCGATTTGTCGATTTGAACACTGAGGAACTAGTTAAAAAGGCTGGTGAAATGTAAGTACTTGTTAGTTTGCTTCAACGTTTAGCTCAATATTGACTGCTCTTGAAATTTCAGAATTTACCGCGTTCATGATGAGCTGAAGGACAAGGAATTCCGTTTCGAAATGGGTATCGTGGGCAGTGAAACCCAGGGTATTTATCAAATCAATCCCGCGGTATTGACTGAGTTAGCCAGAAAAGCCGGAGAAAATGCTAATAAGGAAGATGACAGCGGTGATGAGGCGAATTAATTTTTGTATGGCAGTGAATCTAATTCTGGGCCCAAAAATGTAACATTAATATATTTTATATTCGCCTAATGAATACATATATGTGGGTTAAAACGAGCCTTTTTGTAAAATAGTTTCAGTGTAGTTTAGTTTTTCCTCTTTAGGTAACTCACCTTGCAACCTACTTAGAGATGCGCTTTTTGTATCGATAGGCTGTATCCATTAAAAAGCGATAACGTTACCTATCGTCTGGTTTCTGGCGCGAAATATTATCTCCCATCTCTAATTTTACGACCAACCTGAAAAGATAAACAATCAAATTTAAAACATTATCTCTAATTGCAAAATGACTACACTAATTGAACAGTTGATCGCAAAGATGGGCTTGCGGGAAGAGCCTAATGTGTTGGAGTGAGCTACACTTACAATAAATTTTGAATGAATATTTAAAGAGTCCTTTTCAGGAAAACCACAGAGTTAGTTCGTTTACTGGAGCTGCGGTCGACAAATGTGCCACTGCAAATAAACGAGTATGGGAAAATCGTCCTGTGCGCTGATCTAGCTTCGTGTCTTCTGGGCATTGGGTTTGACAAGGAGCAGGCATTAAAGCTGTCTGGCCTGCGGAAGAGCCATTACCTTAACAACAAACGTATGTTTGAGAAGCTACTGGATCTGAATAAATTGGTCAGCGTAAACGATATATGTGTGCAGCTAAGCCTCAACGAGGTGACTCGCAAAGCCGAGGAGTTGATGAATCTCTTCAAAGGTTTGGTTTCTGCTGAAGACACCGACATTGACACTGCTCACCCACAATACGCCGCTATGGCCGTTTTCCTTGCCTGCCGCCTGCTAAAGAAGAAGGTTTCAAAGCCAAAACTAATGCCCTTCAGCAACCTGCGCCCAACCCAATGGCAACAGCTCGAACAGCAGTGGGAGCAAATGATAACCAAGCATTACAAGGAGAACAAAGTGGTCTCCCCAGGTGATCTGGATGAAAAGCTTAAACCAAGCCAGCAGGAGAATCTCACGAACGGGTCGAAGAAGTCCCTGAAGCCCGAGATCGAAGACTATGAGAAATGGAAATCTAGAATGCTGGCAATGGCTCAAGCAAAGCTGAGAGAAATGGAGGCCTCAAATGACCATCCAGTAGAGGTATAGAGGAAGCAAATGCCTTCATCGATGAGATTATACTTCCTAGTGAACTTGTTGTACCCATTTGAAAACCAGTTGTATCTGTTAGTAAAGTTAGTTTATAATATATTTCTTTCAATTTAGTTTTAATTATAGAAATTATAATTTATAAACAAAATTGTCAACAGTGTTTAGTACACATTTTAAAATTAAGAAATTTTTGAAAGTTTTTGATCTGTTAGTTTATCTGAACTTATTCGACTTGTTTTGACAGTTGATTGCAAACTATGACTAGTCTAGGCATACTTCTTTTTTTTGTTCTCCATGTGTGCAATTATCAATTCGCCAACGTCGATTAGATTACCATTGGTATCGTGTGCTGAAATTAAATGGACTCTTATAATTGAATGTTACATGAAATTACGAATATCGACGCACAATTATAGATGATTGGCTCCACTAAGTTACGTGTCTCAGGCCAAGTTTGCAAAAGATCTTTTAAATGCTTGTAGAACTTCAACCAGATCTCACGTTTCATTTCATGCATTTGCCAGGTTGCCGAAAGATGCGACTGCATCGAATCGAAGAAGGATAACATTGGTGTGGCACCCTCGATAGCAAAGTAATAGATTTTTCCATCGATCTTGCGTTTCAGTTTGTAGACAGCATGTTTATAAGGACGATCGACACCAGCCCGTTTTATGTGTACTGTTTCCAATGGCTAAAGGAAATACAAAAGTATACTATGTGTTGGCCAATTCAAGATATCTGTTCATAATACTTCGACTTTCTCCAGTAAATCGCTTTCGATGATGCCATTTACAAACATTTCGTCTGGAATGAGAATGATCAGTCGGTGCAGTCCAAACGTGATGTTATGTGTTTCCTGCAAGGGGAATATCTCAATAATAGTTTTAAATTAATTTATAAACAGAGTGCATTACTTCATAGACTGCCATGCGGTGTTGAAGGCCTTCGCCCTGTCGTTCGGGCAGCGAAAGGTTCAAATAGCCGTGAAAGTAATTCGATGCCATTCCCGAAGCATAATCGAGTCCATGGGGTTCCCTTATCCAGTGGGAATAAGATAGTGTACTGCCTCCAAGACCGCTGAATAGCAGCCAGTACAGCGGCATTTGGGCCAAGTACATGGCCGTGGGAATTAGCGATTTGTAATTTCCCGTTGCAGAAAATCGAATGAATCCTAGGACAACGAAGCCCAGAAATATGAAGGTGCTGCTTTTATTGTATATAAACGATCGTCTCAGTATAACCCACAGACGATCCTCTGGCAAATAGTGTCGCGAGAACTGAAAATACTCAATTATGCTGAGAGCCAGGCGCCGAATGAGGTCCGCCAGGAATACCACACCGATAATGCGTACGGAAGTGTCTGTATAATTCCAATTGTTCGTTTAGTGCATTAAATGATTTCATTTTACTCACCTAGGTAACCGCCAAACATTTCCAAAGCTCGAAACTTCTTATCTCTCATTACTCGTATCCGCGCAGACCGTTCTTCTGATAGTGCCATGGCTTTTGACCATGGAAATATACCAAAAATATACCATATAATCTTCGTTTTTGAAATTCTGTCGAATATTACTAGCGATATATCGATATATATATATATCTAGAGAGAACCACTAACTATACAGTATATAGATGTGCCAGTTCATACAACGTCACACCACTAACCATACAGTATATAGATGTGCCAGTTCATACAACGAAAGTGTCACACACCGGCTTGCGCTATCCGTACCCCAGAGTGACGTCATCATGAGAGAGAGAGCGCAGAGAGAACATCTTTGCATGTGTTAGTACACACGCAATATGTTTCGACAAAAATATGTGACGGGAATCTGCAAAGCAAAAATTTAGATGCCGGTCGCACCTTGAATACTCTCATGGACAATACCCATACATTTTCTAATTCAATTATAAAGACAACATTAAGACAAGAGTAATTTTAAAAATCCTCATGCAATATATGAATGTAATAATCTTTAATATTTATGTACATAGGATATTTTATATACTGTATGGTTAGTGATTGTGTCTAAAGCAAGGTTTTATGGAATGTCACGTCATTTCTTACTTGTAGCTTGTCAACCAGAGTATGGCATTTGTATAAACTATTTCGTTAATTTAATATGAAGACAAACAAAATAAATAAAATATATATGCAGTGGTTGCATGGATGAAAAATTGTACATTACTTTTTGATTTGCCGACACGGAAACACTCCGTACTTCGTTTTCCATCCCACCATATTCACTTCATTGTCTTACACAACCACCTGCTGAATTCCAGGGACTTCCCCGAATTTTGTATCACTTTATATTTCCGTCAAATCATCTCCCAATTTAATTTAAAACATATGTACATATTCATGCTGTCGGATTTATTTGCGGTGCTGTATGTAGGTACGTGCGAATGTTCAGAGAACAGATAACGTATATAAAAAATGTGTGTACATACATATGTATGAAAGTATAAGTGAAGCCCATTCATTTTGATTTATTTACTTGTTGTTTTTTTTTTAGCTACTAGATCTAGGCGCGTGTAAACAATATAATCACGAGCCCCACCTCTTTTTACATGCCAGAATTTACCGGTACGCGACTTTAGAGCACTGTGCGGCGTCTTCGTAGCGGGTTTTTGAATATATTTTAAAAAGGTTTTGGGTAATTTGAAGAAATATTTCAAGGATTCGATTCTATTCTATATATATATATATATATATGTATATATTCACCTTATAATATTTATATTCTCTATGTCACTTCTAAGAACAAAAGCACCATGCACCTCGGGGGTAAGAACTGAATTAATTCTTTATTCCAGTTTACCTGGTAAGGTAAGCTTGGGGTGTCGTGTGGATCGTGAAAGATGGATCGAGCATCGCTGTTTTTCTGCCGATGTTTACTGATGTTTTCCGATGTTTTTGCTGCTACCGATGTTGAGTGATGGATCGATGTTTTGCAAAACATCGGTAGTTTAATTTCATATCTTTGCGTATTTGTCTTCTGTAAGCAGCAACACAGCAATACCAAAGTAAGTAAACATATTTGACTTAAAATGAATCAAATTTACTATAGATGGTATACATTTGTTTAAATATGAAACTGCGAATGCCGTTAACATCATTCGAAGGCAACCCGTTGTGTGTTTGGGAAGGGTACTGTTCAGTCACAGACATATACCTTATTAATATTATAGAATAGACAGTACAATCTCGTACACAAATACTCATAAATACAATTGTCCATGTCACTTCATGTCAATGAATATGACGACACGAAAATTACATGAGCAACTAAGAATAGACAATTGCACTTGTAAACTCGAACCCACCAAAAAGGGTGAAGCAATAAACTATTTACTCTATTGCCGCCAAGTACCTAAGTAAATGCTCTGAAATGTAACCCCCGCACAGAGTAAATGTACCCTATCTAAAAATACACTCATATGGAGCCTGTGCCTTCCCATACAATACGAGTACCACTGCTATCTATATAAGGAGATCCATTTGTTCAATAAAACTCAGTATTAGAAACAGTACCACAACTGCATGTCACTAATTTTCCCATTGCAATCATCAGAGGCTTTCGCCGTCTCTTCAGATCCTGATTTCGCGGTCACACATCGATGCATCGAAGAATAAATCCGATGTATCAATCCAACATCGATGTTTGATTTTGACAACATCGATGGACATCGACATCGATGTTTTCATTCAAATTTAGATCACTAGATGGATCGCGTGCTCACAGACTGTTAACGTGGGGAGTTAACAGCGCTGTTGCTCGGCGATTTTTTTTTATATGATTTTGTGGGGAAGAAGGAGAAACCCTTACACTACGGTCACTCTAAACGGGACTCACGCGGAATTGATGGCAGTTTGTCACAACGATTTCAACATAATGACGTCATTCTGTTCTTCTTCTTCATTTTTCTGTCATTTTGACGTCATTTCTGTTTTTCTGTCATTTTGACGTCATTTTTTAAAAATACCGGAAAATACCGAAAAATACTCGGAATAATCCTCGATTTTGATATTCCGTGGAATATTACTAGCAAGATTGATCTCTCAGCCGTGCCCACATAATTTTATCCGATTAGTGAATCAATTTCCTTGATTGGCTTAATTAAAATAATTGCATTTATTGGATTTCTATATAAATTTAATTTAATAATTCTATTTAAATTGTAAAATGAAATCGTAGGATCAATTTTGACCTCATAAAATACCGAAAAGTACCAACAATAAACAATTGCAGCTCTGGTCACGTTAATCAGATGTTTCTGGCAGTGCTGGTAAACCTACCCAACTTAGCCGTTTTCCATTACTGCAGAAATTCGTCAGTATTTACGGTATATTTTGATATATTTTATTCCAGAAGGCTCTTATTTGTAAACAAAGCAAGCATTTGACCTTTATTCGCTTTATTTAAAAAACAAGAGTTGTATTTGTATTTGTTTGTGTGTGATTAAATCTAAACGAACAGATGTGAAAAAAATTGAACTCTAGCCAACCAAAAATTAAGATCTCTGTTTTTGTGCATCGTCAGGATATGTTGCACTTTGCCTTCTAGCCTCCTACTCGTGATTTACCGTTGCCGAAAATATGGAATCTCAAGCGTCCAAGACGGGCGACTTTTTCTACGGCTGGGATCTATTGTTCAAGACTATCCGGGCTGATGTCAACAAGAAGGCCGACGTGCTGATGGCACTGGTGCACTTTCTGCTGACCAAGCACTATAAGTTTCGCTGCGTGGGAATTGGCGATGATGTGAGTATTATCCACCATGTCGAATGCGATGATTGAATAATGCTTTCGTTTCCTTTAGAAAACACTGTCGGAGGAGGAGGTGGGAAGTGAGCTGCTTCCTGACAACTGGAACGACGATGACACCAAGTACTCGCTCCGCTATGAGCACGAAAAGGTGCTCTATCTGCTTATTGCTCACATAAGCGAAGAGGACTTGCTTATCAATTTATTGGACATCAATACCAAGAAGGTATCCAATATTTGCATCGATCCCGAAAACCTGGTGGCCGCTGTTAACGGAAACATTACCACACTGGTGCCAACTGCTTCGGAGGTTGTCGACCGTATCCGCAAGGAGCTGTTGGACCCGGTGTTCAATGGAAATTCGCGCGAAGTGACCACTCAGACCATCACAGAGACACAACGATCCAGTGCACCGGATCCACTGCGCATAGGGCCACCAAGACATGGCGGGTAAGGCAGTAGCACATAGCTGAATATCCCGCACTCCTAGTACGATCTCTGTCCCCTTTAGATCATTTATGCCCGGAGGATATGAGCCTCGCCCTTTTGGCTTCCCGGACATCGGTCGCGGGGACCTGGACCCACTCGGTCGCGGTGGTCCTGGTAATTTATTCCCGTTCCCCTCGCATCCCGGCATGCCTGGAAATGGTATCTCATATCCACGCTTCGATCCGTTTGGACCCATCGATCCGAACTTACCCAACCGCGGGCCCAATCCAGACCACATGCGCCCACCCAACTGGGACTCGGATTACTATATGTAAATGGAGTACTCGCAATGAGGAGCAACAAAAATCAATAGTTTATAATCCATAGTGCAGGTACATATGGAGTACTTATTTGGAATGCAATGGGATTTAGATTGGATTTCCTTGAAAATAGTTTTATTACGGTTCATACACAAATACAGAATATTTCGATATACAATAAAATTCAATTCAGCCTGCAAATCCAAATAATTCCTTTTGTGATACGATTGCTGGCAAAAGAAAAATGTACAAAAATCTTAACTGAACTTAAGGACTGATGCTCCAGATCTCTCTCTCCTCGATCATCGCTATGTCATGGCTATTCATTTCGTATTATAAAGAAATCAATTTGTGTTTTTGTTCATTGCAAGTGCCAAATGTAAAGTGCAACATAATCTCAAAACATCTACAGAAAAATACATCCAGCGAAATGTCTGTCGTATAGCTAAACATTAGAATGGTTTGTGGTTGGTGTTGCTTTGCTTACGCCTAGGCTAATATTATAAGTATTACCAATAATATTTTGCTAAATTAATGTAATGTATATAATATTTCATGCTCCTTGCTGCTGGTTGACTTAAATTAGCGCTGCTGTCGCCGCCGGGCAGGCATGCATCCAGCGGATTGCTTAGCTGTACAACTAATCGTAATGTTTTTTGTGCCTTGGCTGCTGCTGCTGGCTGCTCCATCCCAAGCCGCGCGGCGACTGCTTATGTGCAAATGTGTGTCGTGTCGGTCTCTCGCCGGGTGCAGTCCCTCGCATCAGTCCCATTCCCCGATAAACATGCGTGGTGTGGGCACATATCCGCGCGTGGGCAGCGGTAAATGGCGGCCATAGATGTGATTGTATGGTGATTCAACAAGCTCCGAATCTACAAGAAGCACAGAGATCAAAGGTTACAAAGCGATTCCCAAATAAAATAAGCATTCCCTGAATCATTTAAGCAGATATTAATGTGTATGTACAACGGCAGTAGTAGCTGTGGCTGTCCAGGAGTCTAGGAGTCCAGGTAAGAGTTAGTAAACATTTCGTACAGTTTAGTTCTGTTCACCGGGTTCTCAAAGTTGGCGGGTTGGTGGTGGATTGGGCAACATAAAAACTATGTATAATATATATGGTATGGTGGTATTTATATGTACAGCAACCGATCCGAAGGGGTAACCCACAAAACAAGTAACAGAAATCGACGTTGTCTGTGCCAAAATAACCTCATTTTCAGTAAACGTAGACGTATGCGTATGCGTTCGTTCAATAGTCGAGTATTTGAATTTTCTTCAGGCTGAGACTGCGCGGCTTGCGTGGCTTTAGGTAGCCATAAATGGACTCCATGTCGCTGATGTCAAGGCGGCTGGCACTGCGCCCAGTTCTGGCAGCTGGGGGAGGTGGCGGTCCATGCAGCAGTCCATTGGCCGCCGCCTGGGCATTGTTCGCCGTTGGGTCATGTATTGGTGATGCTTTTTTTGATGCTGCTGCAACTGCAACTGCTGCTCCTCCACTGGCATTAGTGGTCATTGTTGCTGTTGCTGTTGTTGTTGCTGATGCTGCTACTGCTCCACCGCTAGATGATGCTGTTGTGGTCGCTTTCGCTTGTTGTGCTTGGGCTGATGCTGATGTTGCTATACTTTTGTTTTTACTATTGAAATTATTTTTGCTTTTCAAGATGTCGTCATTGTTTTTGTTGCTGTTCGTTAACTGTCTTTTGTTCTTGTTGCTGCTGATGTTGTGGCTGTTGTTATTGTTGTTGCTGTTGTTGTTGTTCGTTGCATTGTCATATCGTCGTTTGTCAGAGTTTTGAAAATGTTTCGCCTCCTGCTGCAGTCGCTTGCCGCCCCGCCAACTGGGCGATGGCAGCACCGGCGCCTTGTGCTGGCTGCTCCTGTTGTGGTACTGCGTCCTGGCTGCCAAATTGAACCTGCCATTCGCATAGCCCCTGTCGGGGTCCATTGAGCCGCGTACCCGATCATAGATGTTGGCCGCCGACGGCGCCTTGGCCACAATGCGCTTGCGCCCGCCGTACATATACAGGGAGCCCTCTTCGTTCGGCTGCTCGAAGAAGCTCTCGGTGGACTGGGACTTGGTGCGCGAGCTGGCCAGCACGGCGGGCGCTTGGATCTGGCGCAATTGTGCTCGATCCACGTACATGTCCACCGTCTCCGGTCCCCGGCTGTAGCCCATGCGGGCTGTAAGGTCGTCGTCAATGTCAAAGTCCATGTCGAAGTCGTCGTACTCATAGCAGTCGTCGTACCGCTCGTCCTGGGTCAGCAGTGTGCTTGCCGTCATCGTCGTCACCGGGTCTTCCTCCTGCACATGCTCCAGCACCGAGACGTCGCTCTCGCTGCACCACTTGACCACACCGGCCTGCTTCTCCACCAGACTGCCGCTCAGCCTCTGATGCCGGCGCAGCTGCTGCTGGCTGAGACTGCGCAGGGGCCGTGGCGGCGGCACGGACCCACAAAGCGGGGCCAATGCATAGCAGCTCACGCAGTTGCAGGCACCGGCAGCGCTCTCAGCCACCGGGCGGCGGGTGGAGAGACGGCGAGACACCTGGCGACCCACCGACTCCTCCAGGTTGTCGTAGAACGGTGGATGGGTGGGGTGGTTGGGCGCCTGGTGGCGCGCATGCCTCTCGCACTGATGCATGTGACTGTGATTGTGATTGTGATGGTGCTGGTGCTTATGATGCGGATGTGCGTGCGGAGTGCGGGTCTGTGGTGGCAAGTGGTGCTGCTGCTGCTGCTGCTGGTGGCTACGTGCTTTGTTGGGTGTGCTTTGTGTCTTGGTTGTTGTGGCTGTTGTTAGGTCCGTTGGCAGTGACTGTGGTTGTTGCTGATGTTGTTGTTGCAGCTGCAGCTGCAGTTGCATTTGCAGTGCGTGCGATTTGTGTTGAGGCGTGCTAGCCACGCCCTGTTTATAAATACCTATGCCACTCTCATAGCTGCGCGTCTGCCAGATCTGATGGTGATGATTCTGCTGCTGCTGCTGCTGCTGATGGCCAGGATGGTGGTGCACAGCATGGGCAGCCGCCGCGGCGGCCATCAGCTGCTGCTGCTGCTGTATGTGGTGTGGATGCATGCCCGACAAGTGGTTGTGTATCATCGAGGTCTTCTTTTGGCTGAGCGTGCTCATGCCTCCGTTGCTGTTGTTGTTATTGTTGATGATGTTAATGTTGTTGCCATTGCCATCCCGCTGATCCTTGAGTCCTTGCCCCGAGCCCTTCTTGCCCGACTTGACAAAGTTGGGCACTCGTGCCCGCAGTCCGCAATAGTAGGGATCATCTGTTGAATTGGAAAGTGCTGCTCAGTTTTGCTTGCCGTTTGTGGAATATGCATGAGAGTCTTACCGTATTTCTTGTTGTCCTTGCCCTTGTCCGACTTGCCGCGCGACAGTTTGATGCGTGTTTCCAAATCAATGTCATCATAGTCCGGCTGTGAAAGAGAATGGAGAGTGGAATCAGAACGATATTTAGCATGGGACTACGGTTATTAGTCAATAATATTCCGCTGCCTGAAGACCTGAAATGCAGCCCCAAATTGCGCAAGGTGCGGACGGCGCACATAAACTCCACATAGCTCCGAGCCCCTTTTTCAGTTGGCACTGACGCGGTCGTTGGGCTCAATTGGCAATCCGCCAGCAGTCGAGCAATGCGAGCAATCGAGCAGCGGCAACAGCATTCCGCGCATATTAATTACACGCGATTCGTTTGCAGTTATTTCTTGCTGAAATCCGAATATTATTGAATGCAACGAAACGGCCGTTGCCCAGTGAAGCTCAACGGCGAAATCTTCGCCAGTGGCCTGGTATGTCCACGTCTAACCACCTGCCCGCCGACCAGCAGACACCAGACACCAGACAGAGGGCAGAACTGGAGCCGTAGAGGGAGACGAGTGGAACCGGAGACCCATTTTGCAAGTGGCCGCGTTGCGCATGTAACCAACCATGGGCAGGCAGGCAGCTCGTTGTGGCGGCGGTTCCACTACTTACCAAGTTGCCACACTTCTCTCCGGTTTGCTTTATTTGTGTTTTAACGCTGCCAAATTTGTACCCAACACTTCAGAGCAAACGATGCATGGGCCATCGTTGGGGGGATCTCCCTCTCTCTCTCTTACCTTTGGAATCAAATCGTGTGCATAGACATTGTCCCTGGGCGGCAGCTTGGGCGGCTTCTCGCTGCGTTTGTGGGCCAGTTGTTGCGTCTGCAGCAGCAGCTGCTCCCGCGTGGCTGCCACATGTCCGCTATTGCCGTTGTTCAAGAGCTTCCCCAGCTGCTGCTGGTGGCCGCTGCCAAATCCGGAGCTGCCCGAACTGCCGCCGCTGCCATTGCCAGCCACGCTGTAGGGATCCTCATCGGGTATGGGTATGCGCGGGCGATTCTTAATGTCCACAATGGGGCGTTGCACTATTGGGAATAAAAAGGAGAGCGGAGCGGCGTTAGAAGACTCAGGCACCAGATTGTTGTTGTTGTTTTGGTTTTAAGTATAACGGGACCAAGCAGCTGATAGAACTTATCGATCATCGTGATTGGGGTATCGGAACTAGTTATTTTGATGGCCGATAAAAGGAGCGAACCTGGAAGTTTTCTACTGATGCACTTTTTGCTCGGTTTTCTTTTGTAGACTGTGATATTAAAAGTAACTTCTAACGCAACAGCATGGCTAAATGAACACTCGTGTAGCCTGACAGTGCGAGGTGTCAGTGCAGAACACGGCGGGAAATAGTGTCTTTTTGGCGGGGAAAACTTGTGTTCTGGCGTAAAAGTGTGCTGTGCATTAACTCACCTGGTGGCAACTTGCTTTTGAGCATATCCATGGCTACCACATTCACAATGAGCACCCAAATGGGGCACTCCAAGACATCGCTCTCCGATTTGACAAAGGCCACGGCCGACAGGCACTGCGTCTCCAAGCGTCGGCGATCTGGATAGGCACGGCGCAGCTCACGATTTACATTCGATTGGAACTTCTTCATGTCGAAGAGCTGTGGAGAACAATGCAGACAGACCAAAATTAGCATTTGCCAGTTGCAGTTGCAGTTCCAGTTGCAGTTGCACTCGTAGATGAACGGATTGAACGGATTTATGGCATGTAAGTGGGCTCCTCACCTTGACTATTTTTTCGGATTCGAGCGCCTGATTGGGCAGCTTCAAGATTTCGGCACCGATGGAGGTCTCCTCATTGGGACTGCTGGCGGTGCTCTTGACGTACACATTGCTCTTGGCATAGCGGCGGACGAGTATGTTGCCAGCGTCGTCCATTTTGATCTTCACGCCCTGCATTAGAGAAAACCACGAAACGAAAGTTGCTTAAGTACTTTTGAAATCTTTATTCTTCATTCTCGGGCTCTTTCGGCTAATGGATGTTTCTTGTCACATTTGGTTTGTTTGTTTTTTTTTTTTATGGTCGATCGCACAAGCTAATTTAATTAAGCCGTTGTAGCTTTAATTGTGCCGTAAAAATCCCTTCTTACCTGCCCGATGACGCGCTTCATCTCGTCCGTCTTCTGGTCCCGCATCGGATTGTCGAAGCCGCACAGGCCGATTCTGCAAAACGAATGGAGAGGGGAGACCCAGTTGGGCAATCATTAGACAATCATAACCACATTTTATTAATTGCGAATCAATCAGCTGCCGCATTAGCCAAGAGACATAACAAAACAGAATGAAAAGCCAGCAGGCGGCAGTCGGCAGGCGGCAGACGGCAGGCAGCAAAATGTTGCCAAAACTCTGCCACACTTTGCGGCGGCAATGCGCGGCGCCATTCACTTTCTGGAATTGAGGTTGGCCTATGCCGAGGAGGTGGTGACTCACTGTCGTGTCTGTGCCGCATTTTGTTCCATTAAACGTTTGACAAAACATTGCATTGGCCATGGGCCTGGGTCTGGGCCCGGGACCCGGACAGAACGTTCAATCGCCTGACAATGATTTATGCCACATACTCGTACCCGTACATGCTGCAAAGTGTGGCAGCTGTAGCCGAAAATGTTCATAGTGAACATTTCATATTTGTGTTTCGCCAAGGCCTTCATTTTTCTGCCAAAAGGAGCTGAGTCATTAGTGGATTGGTTTATCGACGGTTCATTGACTGGCCTGCACTGCTTGCTGCCAGGAGAACTTCAAAGTGGTCCAAGCAGTTTTCACATATTGGAGTCCCTTTCTGTCATAGATTTTCGAGGCATAACTTGAGGAAATCTTATTATTGAACTATGAATCGTATTGGTGCTGGTACCCCTGGCTGCACCAACTGCAGCTTTGGCCAATGCGAATGATGAATGTTGCTTGGCTTTCCTCTCACTATCTGCATCTCTGTGGCTTTGTTTTTCGTTTGCTTTGCTGCTAAGGTCGCGCCGCCGAAAATGTCGGCAGAAAATGCTAACAAGAAGCGGCAAGAGGAAGCCGCAAAGGTAAACCCAGCAGCAGGCATCACGGAGCACGGAGCACGGAGCCGGCAGCCCCAGCGGCAAGACAATGAAACCAAGCTAATTGTAATTGTCGTTTGCATAAAAGGCCACGGCATGAAGATGATGATGATGATGCTGCTGCTGCTGCTGCTCCTGTCTGCTGCTGCTGCTGCTGATTCTGCCTCTATTTCTGGCCAACTCACTTGACGCCGCTCTGTCACTATTATGTTTTATGTTAATTTGTATAATGAAGCGCTGCCAACCCAGCAAAGCGCAACATCAGAAGCAGCACCAGCAGCAACAGCAACAGCAGCAAGAAGTAAGAACCACAAGACAGCAAGCAGCTACAATCGCCGTTAGCATCGCGCACTGACTGGCATTTGGCCATGTGCTTTAGTTCTGCCCGTAACGTCTGCCGCTCTGGCGTTGATTTATTGGCTAAATGCTTGTAAAAACCGTTGAAATGTGTGTCAAAGTTTTCCATGAAATGAAATCGACATGGACGGGTGCTGGCGCTGGTGCTGGTGCTGGCGCTGGTGCTATGGCTGCCGCTTACTGCTTGCTGATGTATGTTGTATGCCTTTCAAGGTTGCCTTGCCACCACTGCCGCACACAGTTCGAGTATCTGCCAAAAGCGGATTTGCAGTTCTTTGTTTAGTAAATGCTTCGTTAAATTCAAGCCATCAAAAAAACCCCAAAACAAAAACCCAAATGTTATTAAAAATTGATTGCCCCAAAGGGAGGGCGAAGTGGGCTGGGAATAGCATAAGGAATGCCAATATCAGGCCAGAACTAGAGTCGTCTACATACAGAGCATGTCTTGTCCGCTCAACATTCACTTCTATATGCCGATATCTTTATATACTGTAGTATAATCGTACATATCGGTTGCAAGGTCGTCTGGTCTCAGGAGTACTGGACCTGGCCTGACACGCCTAAATGAGCTGAAAGCGAGAGTGGTACCCAACAAACTGGAAACTGTTTCGATTTTCGAGTTCAAGTTAAACGTGTGCAGTGGGTCAAGCTGGAGGACGAGCTGTGGCTGTTGCTGTTGCTGTGGCTTCTTCGAGGAAGCACCACCACCAGCTCCATGTCCATGTCCATGTCCATGTTGTTGCAGTAACCGTTGTAGCGGCTGCAAATAAAACTGCAGTTAACGGCAACTGGTTTCGTTTCGAACGGCTGTCGTTGGGAACAGCTTTTGACCTGCGGCTGGGGCTGGGGCTAGTGTGAGGCAAAAAATATGTCCAACCGGTTCAGATAAAAAAACCATAGCAAAGACATATGTGCATACATATGTACATATGTATGTACATAACAAGGTATATAGATATATAGTAAAAGTAACCAAACGAAAGACAAACCCAACCACAAATCGACACTTTCCAGTGATCGACTAACTAGTTTGGCTCGATTTGGCTTTAATTAGATTATGGCTAATTATAGGCAAGATTTATAGCCCCGCCAATAGCACCAGCGCCAGCTCCAGCCACTTCTCGATCATTTCCCGCTCCAGTTTCAGTTGAACGGTCACACCTTTAAATTGTATCTCGAAGGCCGCCACAATTTGACTATTGTTCTTGCCCTGGCCTGCCCTGACAAATGTGGCACGTGTGCGGCTGCCGCTGCCGCTGCTGCTGCTACAATGACTAGAAACTGTTAGTTTTGCAACGGCTCTGGCAGGCCGAAAACTGTCTTTTGTCTGGGGCCCACAAGTTGCGATCAAAAGCTCTCTCGAGAGGGAGCTCCAACCTTGGCTCGCCTCCGGGTCGCGCCTTTTTTGCCTTAGTTTTTTCCGCACGAAACATGCAGCACAGCACAGCACAGCACAAATAAAGTGTGTGTTGCAATCGGAGCACAGCTTGATGTTATGATTTGATTTCCATTTGATTTCATTTCATTTGTCCCCCGGTACTCCAGAGCAGCAGTTCCCAGCAACATGCAAATTTGATTGGCAACGCCCACGCCATGAAGTGTTTCGCAAAGTACAGAAAAATAATAATACTCGTAAGGCTAGAGACGGGAACCGATGCTTGGAATACCCTAGAGGATACCCTCGTGGAATGCCCTTCCTCTCTGAATCTCTGCGGCAGGACGGCTCTTTCCTATGCCTCTTCTAGGTATCTCCAAATGCATATACCCTCTCTCTCTGGTAGGGTATTCAAAACCAACTGAAACTGTCATAAACTGCAAATTGTGTATTGGCGCCATTTGAATTGTGGCCAAAAGATACGGTCGTGGGGGCAGGCTGGTGCGGGGTGTGTCTAAGTGGTCCGACAATGACCACACAAAGGATTGGCCATTAATTAAAAGCGCTTGTTTCAGCTCAAAGTGTTCATTGATCGCTGGATTGTCTGTGCGTGTGCGGTCTGGCAGAGCGTTGAGCCCACGCCAGCCACAGCCACAGCCACAGCCGCAGTCTGTGGCAGCATCAGTCTAATTAATTAATTTACATGCAGCAGCTGTTGCACATAGATGTGGCGAATGGATGCGAGTTTTGTCTATGTGCGGCATGCAACACAAAAATGGAAGCAAACCTCGTCTTTAATTAGCAATCAGTAGCGATAGGCCCCTTCGCTATCGGGCAGGGGGGAGACTGCGAGGGGAGAGAATGTATGTATGCTCATTGTTATGGTTATTTTCTATGTGTCACAATCTTCCAAACTGCTCGTCAGAGTCGTCTAGTGTCCGTCTCCTCTGTTTTCGTACCCTTCCACCCATTTGCATATCTGCCAGATTTCCAATGAAAAGCATTGCGTGTGAATTAAAATTCTGTATGCATGGAGTAGATGATGGCTCCTGCCTGCCCGCCTGCCCGCCGGCCTGCCAGTCGACACATTCGGAGAGATACGACTGCTAGTGGCACCAACTAACAAGCACTGACAGCGGCTAATTAAACAAACAAGATGCTGTCGCTGCTGCTGCCGCTGCTGGCCCTAGGACAGGCGATAAACCAAAGACAATGGCAATGACAACTACAAGGGTCTGCTGCCAGACCACAGGCCTGCATCGCCATAAATTATCTTTCGCCTGTGCCCGTTGTTTGTTTGTTTGTGGCTGTTGGGGGGGCTGCGGGGGCATGTCTTGGCGGCAATCGAAAATTGATTAACCCGACACTCTATCCGCAGCATGCAAATGCAGTTTTCCAATTTCCAGCCGCTGCTGCCTGTTTTTCCTGATTTTTCGAGGCATATTTAACCTCCAATTGACACGAACAAGCAAAAACATTTGCAAAGAAGCGACAGACAGAGAAAGAGGGAGCGAGAGAGAGAGAGAGAGATGCACAGAAAATGACAGAAGACAATAATAGCGGAAGACCAAAAGCTCATTGATATAAGGTTTGGCGTACACTCATTGCCTCTCTCTCTCTCTCTCACGAGGCCTCAAGCTTTATCGAGAGAGCCAGCTGCTGTCACGCCGCCTCTGCTTGCTGTAAAACACCTTGCGGGAGAGCAATCGAAACGAGTGGGAGAGCAAAAGTGAGACCGTTAGAAAGATGTGCAATGACAAGAGCAATTTGCATTGGCAATCTGTGATGACCTCGTCACGAACCAAAACAAATGAAAACGAATTGAATGGAATGACTTTCGTTATTATTTTCAATTTCATTTGTTTTCCCTCTCCATCTCCCTCTCCATCTGCATCTTCATTGTCTTCTCTCCTTCGGACCAATCCTCCAGCCCCTCCCCTTGAGTTTTTGTGCGGTTGACATTTGGTCTGGCGGCAGCAACTTTATTTTTGCGGCCCCAACCACAAAGGAAGCCGCCACTGCCACTGCCATGCTGCCAGGCACTTGATGCCCTTTTTGGGCCATACCAGATCTCCTCTCCTCCGTCTTAGATGTCATTGCGACCCACACATTGCGCATACGTAGGATCCATTGGATAGAATTTATGCTCCCAAAACTTCTTGACATTTGCGATTATGTGTGTGGTGGGGGGGCTGTGGCGCAGAGACGGAGATGAAGCTGTGTTTGGGGCCGCGGCAGAACTCCCAAAATTGCCACAGACACAATTGAGCGTACGGCATTTGGCATTTTCCGCCATTTTGTGGCACGCAATAGCAATATTTTTGTTTCTCTTTTTGAAACGGAATATGTTAATAAGGCCCGACAATTGCATGCCCCCCTCGAAAAAACCTCTTGGCAGACGTCCAACCAAAAAAAAAAAAACAGCCGAATTCTTGGCATAAATTGCTTTCGGCCGAAAACGGAAATCGCTCATTTCATACAAAAAAAAAAAAAAAAGAAATAAACCCACGAGGAGTACGGAGCATGGAGTACGGTGCAATTATTATAGCATTTTCACTCGGCTTTTTCGCTTTTTCTCATGCCACAAATTGTTTCCACTAAGGTCGGCATTTTGCAATGCCCCTGTCCGTGCTCTGTGCTCTGTGCTCCATGCCCGAAGGTTCTCTACTCCAGCGGACAGCCTCTTGGCGGAGTGAAGTTCATCTGAGGAATTAAATTTTAATCGCACGCCCATCAATTTGATGGGCGTTTCATTCATTGCCCATTCGAGAGCACAGCAACAGCAATTAATTATTGTGCGAGTATTACAGCAAAAAGTATTAGTCAAAGGGGAAGGCCATGTGCCACACACATCCATCGAGGCATCGCCCTAGAGGTCTCCCTCCAGAACATTTCTTCGCCTTGAGTGACAAACTCCCCAGCAAAACCATCATACCCTCAGCCACTCGGTGACCGTCGAAGAGCAAGAAGATGGGGCAGCGTCTCCAGCTTCTGCTGGGGATTTTCTTTGCCAGTGGGTCAAGGGCACACATCACATACTTTTGCCAGTGCCATAATTATTTATGTCTTTTCCATCCCATCCTATTTTGTTTTTTAGCCAAGTTCAAAGGCATTGTTTGCTCATGTTTAATATGTTTTCGTTTTGGCGAGTTTTTGTTGGTTTTTCTGTTGCTTGTGGCACTGTGCCTTGCAATGACCGTTAATTATGGAAGTGGGGTGGTGGTGCGGGGGGGACTGGGAGGGGAATGGGGACTAACTACTCACCGCATGCCGTCGAAACCGTCGTCGGACCCATTTATGGTCAGCACCGGGGCACGTGCGTATGCCTTGGCCACACGTCGATTCCGCTCAAAGACAATTACTTTGGCCCAGATCTCATCATCGATTTGGGTCCATTTGTCCAGCACTTCCTGTATGTGTTCCTGATGGAAGAGATGCAATATAAGAGTTTTAAAGATAGTTGTCGATAGTTGAAACAGAAGCTCTAGTGAAAGGTTTTCAATGAATAAATGGGATTCCTTCGGGAAATCTCACCAAAAAAAACCCCTAACTGCACAGAAATGAAAGAAAAAACAGACCGACCGTCACTAATGCTGGCAATTTTCACTTTCCATCGTGATTTCTATCTCTCTCCCTCTCTCTCTCTCACTGTCTGTCTATCTAGCGGTGTGTGTGTGTGTGTGTGTGTCTGCCTATGTGTTTGCCAAAGTGAACGGCCTTGTTGGGCGCTTGCGTTTTAAGTTTGTTGTTATTTTGCACTCACTTTACTTTTACTTATTTTGTTGTTGCTTTTGTCGCTGCCTGCCATTACAAGCGTCCGTCTGTGTTTGTGTGTGTGTCTGTGTGTGTTTGCAGTTTGTTAAATAAAAGTTAAAATCAAATCGGAGCAAATGCTGACACGAACAGCGAGCCAGACCCAGAGACAGACTCCAGCCCCAGCCATAGCTCGCGATTCGTGGTGCTGCAGTAAGACATATAAAATTATAGACAACGATACGGCTTTTCGTTGGTGGCCGCTGCACTGCTTTGCACTGCACTACACTGCACTGCACTGCACTGCAGTTGGCGGCGGTTGGGTTGGTTCGAGCTGCTCTGCTCTGCACTGCTCTGCTCTGTTTGAAGTCTCTTTTTATATATAGTATGTACACGAGTCGAGTACTTATATGCATAGATATTTCAAGTGCTGCAAGCTGCGTTTGATTGCAGCTTTGTCTGCTATGCTCGGCTATGCTCTCCTCTGGGCTTGCGTCATGCTTAAGTGCACTTTGAAAATATTTTACATTTCTGCCTTAGATCTGTGTCTATAAACCGGGCTTACAGTGTGTGTGTATGTATTTGTGACTGAATTCCATGAATACTACTATTCCAATAACTTGATCAACATCGAAAGAGGCACTCTTTGAGGGAGTTTCAGATACAACAGAAGAAAAACCAACCCTTATCAGCCGCATCATGCCCATGCCATGTATTTTGTTGCTGCCAATAGCAGTGTCTCATCGCCTTTCATTACCACATATGATGTATGCCCTGTTTGCATATTCAAAGGAAAAATCCAAACCCAACGGCCTGGCAGTTTCCCTCGAGACTCGGCCTGGCCGACGCTCAATTAACCCGAGCAAAGAACCGTCATAAACAAAGCCATTAGCCCAGTAACCAACATGCCCACAATTTCGGTCATATTTTATTTCATATTTTTTTTCTTTTGGGTTATAATAAAAATTAAATATGAAAAACCAAGCACAGTAAACATCAAATGTCTGGCTTTGGCTCTGGCTTTTGGCCACAATTCTACTTCTTTTTTTCTCTTTATTTTTTTGGGCAAAACTTGTCTAGGCAGGTCTCGAGCTGGGGCTCCGTCTTTGGCTTTTGGCTGCGTCTTTTGAGACTCAGAGCGCTAGATCCAGCATCAGCATCAGAGCTTCATGATCAGAGGCGCGCACACACATTAAAAATGCAAATAAATCATGTAGTAAAACTTGTTAACCTTTTCGGATGCTCTGCGTTTGCGTACTTGGATCGAGGCACACTCGGATTGAGACGAGTGCTGCTGGCGGCTTGGAAGCACTTTTGATTTCATTTTCGTTGTGTTGTTCTTTGGGCAGATTCACTTCAGGTTTACACTTTGCCAAGAATCTTGTAGGCTCAAGTGTCGACCAGAAACTGGTTAATGCTCATATTTCTAGGCCGTGCAGAGCCAGAGCCCACAAAACAGACGACCTCAAAATGCCGAAGTTCATCTGAAGTTGTTTTGTGGCTTTTAATTAGTCCTGAGTTGCAACAGAAACAGCCACTGCCATGCCATGCCACATGCCCAGCGCGTGTTCTCCTATACGTATACGTAATGCTGATTTTTGGCCAGTCTGGTAACAAGTTTCGTATGGCATTCGATTCGTGAACTAAATCGAACCCCAACGAACGGGTTTGCATTCATATTAATCATGATTCGGGCGTACCCATTAGCATATGAAAGAGATTAAGGCCAGAAACAAGTTAGAACAGCTCTATCTACCCCACAAATACCCTGTACCCTGTACCCTGTACCCTGTGCAAACATGACATATGTTGGTCGAAGAATATCTGTGATTCCGGCAGACCGCATTTTCGGGGCGTAATTAAAGTCTATTATTCTGTGGCACACTGATCGGCTTGCAACACGTGCAACAACGAACACCACAGCCGACAAGCAGACGAAGCTGAGAATCTTTGTGGTTTTTTTGCCGCTGCTTGCACTTTTTCGTGTAAAATGTTGTTGAACTTTTGCAGTCACGACTCTCGAGAGGAGGCTTGAGGAGCCTCTGCTGCTGGTGGATCCGAGTTGACATTTAATAAAATGATTTCTATGGTGTTTTTTGCGACTCTTTGGGAGCGCTCTGTAGATACAATCGCCTCAAATTATTATGGTCTTGATAGATTCATTTTTGGTGTGTTCTTTTGTGACAGGTTGCATCTCAATGCCCCCACGAGTCATGTCCGAAAGTTCATTGATGTGTTTATTATTATCCCCACTCGTATTTGTGTTTGGTTAACCCACATCCACATTTTCGGCCTCATCTGCCTGCTGATAGCCGCCGATGGGGACCCAAAACCCTTATATAATTTATGCAAATTCCATGCAAAAGCAGCGCTGGAGTGACTTTTCGAATGGAGTCGCCTCGGGGCGACTCTTTCGTCAAAAGGTAAATCAATCAATAAATGAGCAGGAAATTCAATTGGTCCTGGGACATTGATGAAGTGCGGCATCCATAGAAAACCCGAAACCAGAAAGAAACTACAAACAAACAAAAAGCAACAGCAGCAGCAACGTTTCCATTGAATTTATTCGAATCTCAAGCCCCCCATGTGTGTGTGTGTTAGTGGTTTTTCCTGCTCCGGCGTTGAGCCAACGCCAACGGAAAATCCTGTTGTTCAGGCCTGGCCAAAACCGACACCGACACCGAAACCAGGTGAACGGGTGCCACAGCAAGCGACAAAAGCGAAAACCAGCCAAAGAAAAACTTTCATTTTCACAAAAAACAAGACACAGCCACAGAGAATTCTATTCTGCATGCAGCATGGGGCATGCGGCAGCAGCAGCAGTTCGTTGCCCAAGTCTTTTGTTTTGTCTTCTTATGGCGATGGCGATGGCGATGGAGATGTCTATTGGCGGTGCGAGTGTCTGGGGGATTTCCCAGACCATAAATTTGTAAGCAATATTGAATATACATAGCACAGAAACGAAACAAGAAACAAGCAACAAGCAACAAGACCAACAGGCAACGACAACTACAGGGATTGCCCAATAAGTGCCCCGAGCAAAAGGCAAATCAAAGGGCCTCCCTCTTGAAAGGGGAGCAACGACAAAAGGAAAATTCAGACATAATTTGTTGCCGTTTCCATCATGGGAAATACAAATTTTGTGAGACGCCTTTGTGTGGCAGGGGCCCGGGCTAAACGGAATTATATAGATGCCACGCTCACGCTAATTGCAACACACAGTCGGCCAGAGAGAGAGAGGGAGACGGAGAGACAGAGAGGCAACAGACGTACGCTTTTCACTTTTGGGGTGAGGCCGGGACCTCCGCTGGCTCTGGAATCGCTGATGCAAACCGAAATTTATGCAAATCTCCATTAGAAATAAAACATCAATTTAATGGGCGGCCCTTTGGTTGGTTGCTCGAATGAATAAAGTGCAGTTAACCCGATGGCGGAGTGTGGAGTGTGTGTGGGCCGTGACTGCTTGCCAAAAACCAAAGAAAATCACTGAGAAAATCAGTTAGAGAAGCTTCAGGGTGATAGAGGACCAAGCAGCGCACAATAAAGCTAAAGAAATAACTAAAAATCGTTGAAAAAAAACAATAGATCATTTCCGATAGCTTCTAGATAGCCGAAAACATTTCAAAGAGCGCCTAGGCATCTCTTTCAGCTTGGAATGGATTTGGTCTGAAAAGCCCACACAAGCACACACGCACACAGAAAACTGTTATGCTCACTCACACTCGCAAAAAGTATCATCAATGGAATTCCCACACACAAGAAACACAAAGAAAACACAAAGAAAAAGAAATAGTAATCGTAATCGCAATCGAAGCGAGAGCTTCTCTGTTTTTGGTGTGTGCTGGCAATGCTGTGATTTGTGCTCCTCTTTGTACTGCTATCTCCCTCCCGACAGGATCTTCATTGTGGCTGTGGCTCATCCGGAGTGTCCTTTGTTACTGCCACTGAATATTCTGCGCTATGCTTACCGCTCCCTCTTCGTTGTTTGCGCTGGCAACACTCTGGCTCTTTGGCTCTTTGGTGTTTGTGCTGGCAACGCTGCCATCTGCCTCTGTGGGGCCTGGCGCTGAGCTCGTGCGCTGGGCTTGTCCCAACATTAGGGCTACGCTACCCATAACTATTTTTTACTGCTGCCACAGCCCACTGGCTGTTGGCTGTTGGCTCTTGGCTGTTGGCTGTTGGCTGTGTTGGCCATTTGCTGCGAGCTGTTCGCCTTTAGCTGTGCTTTTTACTGCCTTGGCCCATAGGCAAATTAAAAATGCACAACGCAATGCGATGGCCTAACGGTAATTAATGCAATTGGTCAATACAAAAAACACCAACAGCAACGGCAAAGGCAAAAGCAAAAGCAAAACCTCAGCTTAGTGCGTTTCATGCTGACCTCAATGCGGCCTGTGGCTTGGACGTCGTCGCGCACGTGTTTAGAATGAGCCACAGCCACAGCCACAGCCGCAGCCACAGGAAAATAGAAGCAAATCATAGAAGCCCCCAACTGTCAGGCGGAAGTCAGTCGGCAGCGATGGTCGTGCCAGGGCCATACAATATGCATGGATGTTGCAGCACTTTTTTGGTATTTTCTGTAGGGTGGAAGATTTCCGTCATTTGTGTGGACTTACCTTGTAGAGTTTATCCTTCTGATACCAGACATCCTCCTCCTCCTCCTGCTGGGTGAATGTCTGGTCAAGATTAAGATCGTCGCGTGAACGTGATAGAATTTTACGTCGCGACACCATCTTTGTGGTTCTGTAAAGAGAGACAGAGTGAAAAAGAGATGAGATCTCGAGTCATAAAAGGTTGTGAATATTCGCATTATTTGAAAGAACTCGAAAGTTCTGAAGGAACCGCCACCTAACTGTAAATAACGGCAAACACATCAGCAGAGATTCTGACAGACAGGCCCCAAAAAAAAGAAAGAAAATACCCAAAATTGCAAAGCAAACAGAATTATGGCATCCCTCGTAACCCAACGTGGATGATACCCATGGAGTTCAACGCACTCCACTCATTCCCCTACCCTGCCTACCATATTGTTTATGACCTGGACTTCCTTTTCACAAGTCATCCCGCCTGCAGAGAAATCTCTGAGCATTCCCACCTGAACTGAACGGGCTTATACGAGTGCAACATACGCCCATGTCCGGGGTCTCTATGTCCATAAATTGATGTGTCTTTAGAGGCCGAATTTATGTGTAAAACATGCAATTTATATTGAAATTACTTGTTTGTGAACTACGCATCGTGGTCTCCGAACCCCATTCCGATTCCGATCACTCGGGCGGGCTATGATTCAGACGCAGAGCGAGAGCACGGAAGAGATACCATCCAAAGCACGTTGACAACAGCCGCAATAAAGGTAAATAATGAAAAAAAATCACCTGTAAGCTGCAATAAGGAACTTGGACTTGAGCTGAAACGCAGGATACCCTTACTTGAAAGAGTAGTACCCTAAGAGGAAAATTTGTCCACCAAATACTAGTATATTTCTACCTAAAGTACTCGAAAATCCTCAATATTTTTTTGCTTTCCACTGCTTCTAAGCCGAATTTCAATTGATTGACCCGTAACCTGCTTGCATTTATTGGTTGCTTTTATCTCCACTGCTTGTTGAAGTTCAGTTTAGAGCTGCTTACACTGCTTGTCGCCCTGCATGTACCCGATGGAAGTGTGTACAGATTCAAGTCGTTTGTTTTTTCACGGCTCGGTTTGTCAAGTTGTTGAAAAAAACGCTCATTGCATAATAAACATCTATTGGGGCGGCGGGTAGGGGGCTTGGGGCTTGGCAGGCGACGCGTGTAGCGACAAGAAAGTGCTCTCTCTTTCACTCTCTCATCTGTTTTTCTTTGTCGCTCGTGTGCCTCGGCATGCAAATGTTTTTTCGGGAGGAGGTTCGCTAACCTGTTGTCATATCTTTGGCCGTCTTTTTTTCTGTTATTAGTGTCTATAATTGTTGGCTTTCTTTTCGCCAGAAACTGTGTGAACGACTGATTGACGGCCGGAGTGTCTGATTGACTGACTGACTGGCGGCGTGCGGGAGTGCTACAGTGCTGCAGTGCTGGGTCGGATGCTGCTGCAAGGGCCTGGCCATAAATATTCATCGCCTTTTGCACAATTGTCAACGATCGACGCCATTTTTTGTTTGCGCCAACACAAAGATTGCAATCGCATAACAAATGTTGGTGCCTCTTGCTGCAGCTTTATGCGATTTATGCAACAAAAGCCGTTAAATTGTATAGAGTATCAGCTCTGGGATTGAGACTGAGACCGGGACTCTCCTGCCGCTGCCGCTGCCGCTGCTGTTGCCATTATTGAGTTGCATTTTCTTTTGTGTCTGCCCCCCCCTGCTGAAAGTACGAGCATTGTTATTTATAGCCAGCACAGGGCGACACAGAAACGAGCCCAGAAATCAGTGTATCTGCCGTGTATATAGAACATATAGTACATATGGCATACATGCTCGAAACAAGAGTTCCTCAGGCTCAGCACGTACATCGCACACAGACGTGTTCTAGTTTGTCTCCGGGGGCGAGGAGTCGCGTAATTACGTGAAGTGCATTTTGAGTGCCGCATATATGGGATCTCGTACATCATGGCTGATCCACACGGATACGCGAATGTCTACGGTTTAGTTTTGGTGCATTCTCCGACACATTTGTGTCTTTAGAGATGAGAGTGCCCAATGCAAGAATGGATAGGACAGATGATAAGCACCTAAAAGCAGAGGTATCCAAGGGACAGAATTACTGAGGCACGAAGAAGGCATTGCCAGACCTAAAGATTGCCGAATAAAAGTAGGTACTACTTTTTCTGGAATGGATATCTGGATATCTAAAGCAATTGGATATTCATAATGCCATTAAAATCCCCACACGGATACGCGTTTATTCAATTATAAATTCCAAACGAAAAACACCAAAAAAATATAAAGGAAACCTTAATGCCGCCGCATTCTTTATGGGGCACGTCAAATTAAAACACTTAAACGGCATTTCTCAGTGTTCGCGGAACAATTCTGGATAAATAACGCTGACATATCAAGAAAGTTTCTTTATATGATGGACAATTAACGGCCCACAAACGGCCCCAGCTGAAACTGCAGCTGAAGTGGAGTGCAGTGCAGTGCAGTGGAGTGGAGTGGAGTGGAGTGGGCCCCAAGTGGTGCTCGAATATCCTGCACACTCATAGCGGATGGAGCGGGGCAGAGCGAGACCTTGTGTTTTCGTTACTGGACTTTTGAAAACGGAGTAACTGCCGTTGCCTGGACCGCAGCTAAAGATGGCGAGATGGGGCTGCAGATGTGCCCCCGAGGCTGTGGTTGTGGCTGTGTCTGTGGCTGCCACTTGATGGCCGTAAAATAAAGTCATCGAGAGAGTCTTTCGGCATTTGTCTGCCGTGTTGACTTTGCTGATTTGTCTGCTTGATAATTTCCCTGATCTTTTACAGTTATACAGGTTGCACTTTGCCAAAGCAAACATCAATCTACGATTGAATGACTTATGTGAGAAAATGTGTGTTTGCGACCATTAGGCCAGCAATTTTCAGCCATCCAGCATTCACTTTCCAACCAAAAATAATAAAATATTTCTCTCGCGCACGCAAAAATGTTCAACTTTCACAAAAATAAAAAAAAACGAACACAAGAAAAACTAAATATCAATCGGCGGGCAGAAAACTGCTACTTGAAATAATTTAAATAATGCCAATTGATGATTATTTCTTAATACCCTGCATCCAGGGGCCAGGGGGGGCATCATCCGATGAACTCAAATTTAAATTTCAAATTCGTTGAACTTTCACAATTGTCCAACAAATTGATATTGAATTATAAGCAGAGATTTTCCACCGATTTCCGATGGGTTCAATAACTTGGCTTCTTGCGTTTGACATTTTGCCAAACGAATCAAAATACGAAAAATACCCGTAGAAAGTAAAATTTACGATAATTTCGATGGATAAGTGGATTTCAAACATCTGTGGAACGTAGCAAATTGCAAAATTAAGTAGCATTATTTACTGAGAGTAGAGTTCAGCAAAGTTGAAGTGTTATTATTTATCTTGAATGTTGGGGTACTTCCCGCAAAACAACTTTATTAGATATTTCAACAATAGATCTCTCCTCTTCTGCTTCGAAACGATCGTCATTGACGGCTGCCCACACACACGCTGCAGAAATAAGCAGTGAGGTGACGCAATACTTTCAAGTTCGTTGTTTGGTGTTCTCATAAGAGATGTACAAATGTATATTCATATCTATGTGATAAGAATTCTGTTTTTTCGCTGCTTAAACACCAATTATGATGACACCTTGCGTCACCTTGAACAATGCACTCCCGCCTCTCGCGTTCTGCTTTTGTTCCTCCCATCACACTGCATTGCTCTGCACTCTCCCACTTCCAGAACGCAGACACAACAAAACAATTGCCAGAAAAGCTCTCAGTAGCTTTAGTGTGGGTACGCAGTTTCTGTGCTTCCGCATGGCTTTGCTCTCTCTCTCTCTCTGTCCTCCGCCGCTACAGCTGCATGTCTCTGCATGCGTGAGAGCACACACACCCACACCCACTCTCTCAGCTTTGATGAGCAATAATCATTTATTATCGCTTGCTCAACTTTAAGAACATGCTTTCACCGTTCTTGCTCTCTGGAGCACAGCTTTGTGTGTTTGTGCATGTGTAAAGTGCCGCAAAGCCTCGTTTAAGCAGTGCTTAAAACTGCATACCTCTGAGAGAGAACTCAGCTACCTCTCCTACGCTTCTATCAATGATGAGTAATAATGCCTGTTGTTGTTGCTGCTTCCCTGATTGACAAGCGGAAAACTCGTTTCAAAAACTTTCTACAGAACTTTCCTCCACGCAGCTTAAATGAAAATATGCATAACTTAATGGCAACATTCACTGCATATTCAACTACAGCCCAGACGGCACGGCACGGAACGGACAGACAGACAGCGGCAATAGCGCACTTTATGAATGAAAGTCCACGTCATGAATTATTGTAGTTTTTACGATAGAGTGGAGTCGGGTCGGCTCTCGGGGGCCATCAATAAAGAATTTTGATGATGACAATCGCACTGACAACGCTAGTCGCATATTAATTGAATCGAATGGAAATGGAGGTGGAGGTGGACGTGGACGTGCACGTGGAAGTGGGCCCGGGGTTGGGTATGTAATTCTAATGCAGCTCTAGGCTGCCGCCCCTCCTCCCTCCAGCCAGGCAAACGGTGTGGTGTGCCTTGCCTGTCAAGAGGTCGTTGGCTGCTGCTGCCGCTGCTGTTGTCTGAGACGTCTCCGGAGTGCAAATAGTTTTCAGTTCGTTTACCCCCCACCGATTGCATTGTTGGAGCCGCGGAGAGTTCATCAATTTGCGAGTGCGTCACGAGACTGCAAATATTGTATGAAGTGTCTGCCCCATCGGCGGTGTGGCAGCTGCTTCAGTAGTTAGAGTGTGAATCGTTAGTGGATGATTTGTTTGATGTTACCTCAACGACTGTGGGGCCACAAATCTGCAAATTCATTTGCCAACTTTTGTGACTGCCTCACAGAAATGTCAGGGTCAGACATGATAAATTTGCTTTCCTTCAGGCCTGTATGGGTTTTATTTGTTTTTGTTTTGTTTTTTGGCAAGAAAGTATTTTTGGCACCCCTAATGGTTCCCATTATGTAACCAGAAACTGCTTGAAAGTCGATAGACCTAATGAAGCAACAACAAATTTGATACTTTCGCAGATGGAAGCGAAGAAGAACCG